TTGCAAACTTTTTTAATGGGTGAACTTTTTGTAACATTTTGAGTGATAAACACCTTTTTCTAGTTCCTCGCGTGGTATTTCTCTTAACTTTTGGTAACAATCTGTTGCCTCTGGATCATGATAGGAGTACATTTGGCTTAAACATATCATTAGTTTTTCCAAAGCGTCACGCGAACTGGTTTTTACAATCTGAAATTAAATTTAGTAATTGCTAGGAGACACTTTTAAAAACTACTTAAAGAACATATAAAAAATGCACTAAATCGTATTTTTGAAGGATGAGAGATGTAAAAATATGTAGATTTATATATTATTACGTAGATATATGAAATAATATCTAAATCAAATAAACAGAAATACTTTTTTTTTACCATCATCCTCCTGGCACACAATGCATTTAGTAAAGTCAAAAATAAGTTTTCTTTTTTTTCGTTTTTCGCCCTCCATTTGATAATAATATTTAATATGTGAAACAGCAATAACACAGTATGAAAACGTTTTTACAAGCCAAAAACAAAAACAAATCATTCGAGTTGTTGCATTCTTATTGGTAGAATTATGTAAAAATAAAATGAAATTATCAAAACATTCGAAATAATACAATCGTCAAGCATGAAATATTCTATTTCATCAAAACAGGTTGTAAAAATGTTGTAAAAACCCGGAGGTTTAAAAAAATGATTTTTGTTTAAAATATATTTTAAATAATATAAATTATGTAATAACTAATATTTCTTAAATTACAAAAAAAAAAAGAAATTTTAAAAAACATAAAATCCGCGTTCAAAAAAGTATTTTAAAAACAATTAAAAATCACAAAGCAGTGATCTACCCCCTGTGTAATAAAAACATATTTACCCTTTTATCTTTTTAAGTAAAAACTTTCAACATATGTTTTTTATATTATTTTGAATACCTGATTTATGCTCTTTTGATTGGTTTAAATAAAATTAATTTGAAAAATGACACACGGTCATTTTTCAAATCCTTATCTTACAAGGATCTCATATTTACAAAAAGTTTGCTTGTTACATGTATGTGCACACGAAAGGTACAATAGTGGCCTGCACTATTTGCAATAACAGAGCATAAGACGTATCGCAAACTGGACGTTTTTTTTAACGAATTGAAAAAACTTTCGAGTTCGAACATAATTTTGAAAAAAGCAAACAAACTACAGTATTTTTTTTTCAGATTTTTAAATTTTTTTAATTTTTTTTTCTTCTTATTTGTTTTAAATATTTTTTTGTTTTCAAACTAAAAAAAAAAAAATAAGTTTTGTTTTATTGAATTTGAATATTTATTTTACTTTAAAAATTAAAGTGTTTTTTTTTTTAATAAGTGACTAAATGGGCTCATTGAAAAGGTTGTGATGATAAATGCATCATTTTTTTATATGAAAAATTGTAATATTGTTCAATCAGCGAAATAATAATTAAAAAAAAAAAAAGAAAACAAAGAGAGGATAGCAATAAGATAAACGTAGCGAAATTAAAAAAGATAATGGAAAGAAAATTAAAAATAGTTGAAACAAAAGATGAAAAAGAATTAGAGCAACGTTATAAAAATATAATTCAAAAAAAGAAAATATATTATATAGTCATAGCGCAACAATTAAAGTGATTTTTTTGTTACATCGCCGTTAAATTTAAATTTAAATACTTGGAGGTCATCAAAGGCCAGAAGATTAAAGTGCCGGCAGGCCAACAAGTACTTAACCCGGAATATATATATGGTAAGCAAAAGATACTATGGCTCAAAATGAGGTTTTCTTTTTTTTTTAAAACGAAGACCAGATATATTACTAATTTGAAGAGAAATGTAGGAGAGTGCTGCTACATCGATTGAACTATACCTATCTTAACCCAAATCTTCAGTCGATGTAGCAGCATTCCCTTGCATGTTACCCCTAAATTAGTCATGTAGAAGCACTCTCCTACATTTCTCCCCAATCCAGTAATATATTCGGTCTTCGTTATTTGAAAAATCAATATATATATATATATATATATATATATATATATATATATATATATATATATATATATATATATATATATATATATATATATATATATATATATATATATATATATACTGATTAGGCATCCTATACTTTTCAACTATTTAAAAGTTAACAAACATTAAAAATGAGACTATGGTCAGAGACAGGTAACATTTTTGATGAAAAAAGAGCTTGTTTATTGCCCAAAACTGGATAGCAACTCTTTTTGCACAACAATATTTCTAAATTTCAGAAATCTTTACATAACTTAAGTCATAAGTGATTACTACAAATAAAAATTAAGCAAAACTACAGATATGCGGTCTAAATAAAAATATTTATGGTTTTAGTACATTCAATAATTACCTTATAGTCTTCTGCTACAAAAGAATGCTGCTACATCCATTATCTTATAGCCCGCTGCTACAAGTGAGTGTTGCTAGATCGACAATCTTAAAATGATCAAAAGTTGCATGACGCAATTTGTGGACGACCCCTACATAATTTTAAACAAAATATAGACGCTCTAATTTGAACGTCTGGATTTTGTATAAAATTATTTGTTTATTTTGTCCGTCTAGAAAAAAGCGCGTGTTTTGTTTTCGTGTTTTTTTTTATTTCAATATTTTAAAATTTTCTTTTAAAAGCCTTCAGTCTAGTGAAATCAAATAAATATCATCTTGATTCCTTTCTGTTGTTAAAAATACTTCTTAAAGAATTGCTAAATATAAATTTTAATATAATATAGAAACTTTATTATGTAATAAATCTTTAAATTGTTACTTTTTTTATTTTTTATTTTATGCAATAAAAAAAAATTGAAAAATGCTATGATGTTATATATAAAACTACTTTACCTCAGCTTTACTTTAACTGTAAATTTTACTTTAATCTATAAATTTGTAAATGAGATAGTCATAAATTTAATACTATAATGTAGTACTGCAAAAAACATCCTGTAACTTCAAAAAAAGTTTTTATGCACTTATTAACCGTGTAAGTTTCATTTAATACAACAATTCCACAAAAATTTTTTTTTAATAATACAATGTGCTCTTATATATTTTTTTCACACATAAATTTTCCAACAAAAGTCAAAAATTCTCAGTTATAACATTTTTATTAACTTTCTGTAACCTCACTATTTCCACCTAATTCATTCATCTTGGCCTTGGTCTTAAAACATGATGCCTTTACCTTGCTATTTTTGGCCTTGTTAACAAGTCTGCTTACGATTAAAACTACTATTTAATCTCTTAATGTTGAGTCAGTTTCAATCAATTTAAATTTAATTATGTTAAATTTAATCAATGATACTATAATAAAATATTCAATCAAATTAAATTTAATCAATGATACTATAATAAAATTTTATAAAATAAATATAATAATGGTCCTGAATGATGTCAATAAAGAAAAAATAATTGAAATATCATCATTTGGAATGATTCATAGAGATATTGCAAACAAAATTGGATGAAGCAAAAGCACTATAACTGATTTTCTGAAGAAGTATAAGGACACAGGAGAAACAGCTTGTTGATCTGGATCAGTAAGAAAGATTCAAATTACAAAAGAAGGTACATGCATTGTTCAAGCTGCCCTTAAAAAGTGCTGCATTTATAGAAACAAGATAAAAGTAGAAATAATTAGTCATTTGCACGAAAAAAAAAACTACAACTGTCTTTAGGCTATTGCCCTATTGAGACAAGTTGTTTGGTCTGGTGAATTTCCTTTTGAATTAGAATCTCTAAGATTCTGTGTTTAGAAGTGTAGTAATGAAAAGTATCATCCTGATTGTATGAAAGTGATTGTTGAGCATCAAAAGCAGATAAGTCTATGGGGATGCTTTGCTGCTTTTGCTATAAGAATTCACATGATTAAAAGCACTATGGATTAATTCCAGTACCATGGGATCCTTGTTCATCATGCAAAGTCAAGTTACATGGAATTATTTGCAGATGCTAACTACTTATTGTAATAAGATTTTAATAATGATCCTAAGGAAATCTAATTGAAAATTAACGGTCAATACTTGAAGATAAAACTTAAAAACGAATGTGCAATGATGAAGTTTTTAGCTTCAATTGTGTTATGGAATTGCTTAGAACCATTATTAAAAAGGCTTGTTAATAGTATGCCTCATAGAATCAGAGCATTCCTTGCTGCAAAAGATGCAATAACTAGTATTAATTTAGAAAATTTTATTTTAAAGAAATTGACTCAATAAGATAATGACAATATAATATTTCTGCCAGCAATTGTTTTGTATCACATCTGTCTGGTAATACTTTAGTTTATGCAATATTTATATATGTTATAAATATATAATATTGTAAATGTGTTTTTCTTTTTTTAATATAAATATTTATTTAATTGAAACTTATGTATAAGCATGATATTTATATTGAAATTTTAAATGAAATTGCTAATTTTTTTTTAGTTTTATTTAAAAGTCTTTTAAAAAAACCTGACAAAATTTTTGGGCTTGTATTTTTGGCCCTGACTGTAGTATATAATATTTAAACCGTCGCACTTGAAAGTATGAAATTCCATGTAATTACTTAATGAAATTAATGATATGTAAAAAACTGTTAAACTAAAGATAGTATCCCAAGCTATTTGTTGAAATATATTATTTGTTGTTGTTGTTCTTTATTACAATTTTTACACAAATTTAAATAAGAAAAGTTCCCAATAAAGATTAAAAAAAAAAAAAATTAACAAACAGTGTATGAATAAAGCAATATATAAAGAATTTTCATAACTCATGAATTCATAATCATCTTTCAAATCTTCATAACCTATGAAATCATAACTCATCTTTTATACTCTTTAGTCAGATATTAAAAAATTTATTTAACTTTTTTCAACAGTTTAATAATTGGTGTTTGAACCCCTGTTTCAGATTTATTTAAAACAGGCCTTTACATTCTAAACTAAATTTAAATTGAATGATATTGTTTTTTATTGTATATCAATCATTTAACAATAGGACAGCCATGAAAATTCTGCAACATATGAAATTAATACAAAGAATGGAGGATTTGTTTTTGATATAACAAAAGATGCGTAAGTTTGCGGTTTATGTTTTTTAATTTTTAGTATTCAAAACTGTTAGTGTAATGTGGTAAAACATGAATTTAAATGAAAAAATTTTCTTTTTGGAATGAAAAAATTTTTTTATTTTTATTTTTAATTTTTTTACATTTTTTTACTTTTTAGTTTTTAAATTTAATATGAATGATGTTTTTAAGATTGCAGTAATTTAACTCCTCAAGATTGTAAGACTGGAATAATTTAACTTCTCAGGTTTTTAAGACTGCAGTAATTTAACTCCTCAAGTGCAATGGAACTATTTCAGTCTTGGTGGCTACTGATTAAAATTTTTTAAATAATTGTTTGGTACTATTTGTTTAAACATTTATGTGTTAGTAGACTTGTGGTAGAACACTTGGGAAATCAGGAGGTTTGTGGTAGAATGGGTTTCAAACCCATGCTTGTGTTAGTACTGTGCTCAACCTGTTTTTCTGTGCAGCAGCCTCATTGAAGTTAAACTTAATTTGAAAGTGAGTTGCAAATGAAGCAAAAAATTATGATGAAATACATGAGTTATCTCCTTAACCACTTAGTGTAGTGGACCCTAGTGTAGTGGCTAGTGTAGTGGAGCCTTAGGGAGGTAAATTTAATAATAATAATAAACAATTTAAAAAACAAAAAGCTTGTCAAGCAAAGCTACTAGTATAAACAGGGATGTGGTGGAGATTAAAGTTGTTTCTTCTTGCTTAAAACGTAAGTTATAATCCTTAAAGCTAGAAATTATAATTGTATAATTACTAAATACCAAACTTTTATGTATACCAGTTATTCAAGTGAGTTAAGTTATTCAAGCTTCAAGATTATGTTCATATTTACATCAATTTTTATCAAATGTATCAAAAGTTGTTAAGAATAGAATATATTAAGTTGTTGTCATAAATTTAAATTTGTGGTTGATTTTTTTGATTGATTAAAGATAATTTAGATTTGAATTACATTTTCAAATTTACAAATCTTTATTGTTGCATTTATATTAAATACAATGCTGCTTTTTCTTGGCTCTTGCAAGTAGATTTAGTTTGTATACTGCCCATAGATACCATGTTAAATAGAATCTGTTTATATTTAAAAGGTTTTTTCATTTGAACATCACATATAATTAAAACATGAACATTTAGAATATTAATTAGAACTTGAATATTTAAATAAAATATTGAATCTTTATTACAAAATTATTTATAAAACATTTTTTCTTTTAAGTTTTATAATCAAAAAGTTATAAGGGAACTCAAAATATAAAAAAATTATGTTATTTAACAAACTGATAATGAAGCAGACATATTAGGCACCACCTTGTTTACATTTATTTTCAATTAGAATTTTTCATTCTAATTAAATAATTTTTAACTCTAATTGAAGTCTAATTTATTTACTTAAATGTGTTTTACTTTGTTTACTTTAGTATACTTAATTTTTAAAATTATTTATTACAATCATTATTTTATAATTGTTTATAAATCCATGTATATAAATAGTTTTTTGAGAATTCATTAAATATTTATTTAGAAAAGTATATCAAAGATCAATTTGGGTTGGAAATTATGTTAGTTCAAAAACTTTAAAACATAACAAACTTTTAATATCAAAGGTATTTTTGTTATATGATTTTATTTAGTTAAAAATGAGTTCAACTTCTCATTTTATGACTATAGTACAAATGAACTTGATTACAGTTAGCAAAAAGTTTTTTATTATTCAATTATTTATTTTTTTAAATATTGGATTGGAATTCATTTTATAATTCAATTATTTTTTTTGAACTATAATTGAATTATAATTATAATTGAATAATAATGAAAAATAATTGAATTATAATTCAATTATTTATTTTTTTAAATATTGCATTGGAATTCAGTAATTTTTTAAAAGTATAGTTTTTTGGTTTTTTAAAATTTTCTTTTTAAATATTGGTTTTAATAAAATCAAAAACTTTAAAACAATGTAATAAATTTAATAATGGTTTATGTTGCAAAAATACAAAAATCTAATTATTATTGAATTTATACAATAAATCAAGTCTGAAAAGAGGTTTCCACAACATTTGTATCAATCATTCAGGACCTGTAAGATAGGTATGCTAAGTCTCAGCCTACCATTCAACCTTTATATAGTCTAATTTGATATTCATTTAAGTTTTTAGTTAACCATTAACATTGAAAACTTTATTGAAGACCATTATAAAAATACTTTTTAAAATCAGAATTCAGAAAATCAGAAAGTACTTTTTATTAAAATTTTTAAATTAAAATTTATTACTGTAGGGATCTTGAGGTGAGGCAAAAAGCACAACAAATAAAAAATTATTTTGTTATAAGATTTTTTTTGAATTTCAAGTTGTTTATTAAAAAGCCAAAATTAAAATTAATATTTAATATAAAGCAATGTTGTTAATGTTTTACCAAAGAGTTTTAATTATTTTATAATCAAATTACTTAAATTTTTTTAGAAATTTTTAGTGTCTAAGAATCCAGTGAAGTTTTTCAATATATTAATTTATAACTAAATAAAGTATCTATATATTAATTTTAGCAAAAATTGTTTACAATCGATAAACCAAAACTATTGTTAATGTGGAAAAATTACAAAGTAGATTATCTATTCAAGAAACTTTATTTAAATCATTTGTCTAGAAATGAAGGTTGATAAACATAATTTTGAAACAGCAGTCAATAAGGTTTTAACATCTTTTTTTTTCTAAATATAAAATTAATATAAATTGTTTAAAATCTAGTCTAAATCTAAGTCGTTTTTTTTTTTTTTTTTTTTTTAAAACAAAAGTCTAGTCCTATTGGTTGAAGTTTTTTTATTTTTTTACTTTCCTTGTTAAAAATGATAGATGATTGAAATTTAAGCAAACCTATGTCTGTTTTTCTGTATAAACAAAGATAAGCATAATGAAGATTAAATTAGATGTATTAAAACCTTCAGAAATATCTTCAGATTACATCCACATATATGGATGTTGATATATATACATACATATATATATATATATATATATATATATATATATATATATATATATATATATATATATATATATATATATATATATATATATATATATATATATATATATATATATATATATATATATATATATATATATATATATATATATATATATATGTATATATATACACACTTACTAAAGTGTATTTTTGAAAGCATTTGCTCACTTTTTTTGCTTACCTGAACCCATACAGCTTTTTTTGAAAAAGCAGAAAAAAACGAAGAATGATGAATGAAACAATTGCTGCCCCATCCCAAACCCTCAGTTGATGTAGCAGCACTCCACTGCGAGTCAGGCTATTTGTCAGTCAATGTATGTACTGAAGCCCCCAGCAGGAGGCTATTTCAGTATGACGTCAGATTGCTTACCTTAGTACGCAATACTATTTGTATATATATACATATATATATGTATATATATGTATATATATATATATATATATATATATATATATATATATATATATATATATATATATATATTTATATATATATACAGGGTTTGTGATGAAAAAAATTGTCAAGCGTGTTATATTGCGTTTATATATATATATATATATATATATATATATATATATATATATATATATATATATATATATATATATACAGGGTTTGTGATGAAAAAAATTGTCAAGCGTGTTATATTGCGTTTATATATATATATATATATATATATATATATATATATATATATATATATATATATATATATATATATATATATATATATATATATATATATAGTTTAAACAATTTAAAATGTATTCTACAAAAAGAGTGCTCAATGTTCTTAAAAGAACGGAGCAATTACAAATTAGTAGAAAATCACTTAGCAAAATTTTTTCTCATTTAACACTGTGTTTCATCAATAAAGACTCATCAGAAACATATAGATATATATATTTACAACAATATATATATATATATATATATATATATATATATATATATATATATATATATATATATATATATATATATATATATATATATATATATATATATATATATATATATATTATATATATATATATATATATTAGGGTGGTCCTTATAGGAGGTTGAAAATTTATTTTGGAAAAAATTTGGCGGGCGCCCCTCAAAATGTTTCCATTCGGTGTAAAAACACTTGCTTTTAATTATTGTTGAATTTTATTAACATTTAGGGTATGCTCAATTCAAACAAACTTTCGCATATAGCAGTCACTCAGTCTCAGTGTTCAACGCAGTAAAGTGACATGAATGTTTTTCAAATGTAAGATATTTGTATAACATAATGTTCTGAAAGCAACTCACTTAGTCATCTTCCAAACTAAATTATGTCTTCAGGCTTTCCACAACTGCTACTTTGCTTATTTCTGGTAACTTCTTTCTATGCTCAGCCACTACTTGAAGGATGAATTGCGTCTGCTCTTCAGATTTTGTCCGGAGTCCGCTATACTCCTGAATGAGGGCGACACCTCGCTCTGCAGTGTCGTTAGTAACTGGAAGTTTACCAACAAATGTCTGTGCTTCAGTAAAGGCAGGCAGATCACGCCAGATGGCAGGATCTTCATCGAAGAAGCTGGTTGAAATGTTCAGAGCACTAAAGAACTTCTTTGTATTTGTTGTCACGAAGTCAGGTATCTCCTTTTCTCTTATATCTTGGTCTAATAGAGAGATGCGTTTGGCTGGTTCTTGTACTCCAGGGTTGTCCAACGCCTTGACCATCTTTCTCTTGTCTTCAACAGAAATGGAATCGTCAAAAAAAGAAAAGCCTACGAGTACTTCCGACAAGTACCAAAGGTGTCCTTTTAACTTCTTCAAGGCAGCAAGCGATGTACAGTTTCCAGAAGCCAACAATTCCTTACAGAGCAGAAGGTCGTTCTTTGGAGCTGAGATTCCAAGACGAGAAGAAAACCAGCCTCTTATGTAGAACTTCACTGCAAACACACAGAGATCCTTGAGTCCATTGAGCTCACAGTCAGTAAGATGAAATCCACTGTTTCTGAAGATAAATATCTTCATGCTGTAAATGAGACGTGACATGAATCTGGCTCTGTGCATCGCTCCTGGTTTCATGAATCTGACACCTCTCGGAGGAACGCCTCCCAAGAAAATAATTGTTATTTCAAGGAGCTCTCTGTAATCGTCTCTGGGGTGTTCCGTGTGTAGCTGCTCAGTGGCATAGGAAAGAGTCCTCTGCCTGGTTTCCGAATCAAGTTGAGCCATTACAGCGTCATCCTGGATCCCTGCATGAAAGTCAACAGTTTGAATGTTTGGCCAGAACTGTTTAAACCTCTTGAATAATTGTATCTCGGGTGATGATGAAGGGCTGATGCATAAGGAAAACACTTCCTCGAGCATAATGTCATGGATGTGGTGGCGGCATGCTAAGTACAGTACATCATGGCCAAGTTTTCCTTCCAGAAGAACACACGCTCCATTACGTCGCCCAGTGTTAGCCGCTGTTGTGTCAAAACTAAAGGCCTTAATATCGTCTTTGATCTTCCAATCATCAATTATCTGGACAATGGCGTCGCATATGGCATGTCTTGTTCCCGATGAAAGCTTAGGAACAGCTAGAAGCTGGTCAACACCATCAGAAGAAACAACAATCGGCAATCTGTCTACTTTTTCATCTCCTGTCAAATCCTTCATCAGCTTTCCATCCCAGTGGATAGTTAGAGGCTTTCCGTGACTTTGAAACTCTACTTTCAGTTCCTTTGATCTCAGTTCTCGATGCTTCAGCCGGTACCTGCGAACGGAAGATCGGTTCACAGCAAATTCTGCCGCGTTCTGGCCTGTTGCAGAAATAACGGATGCCACAGTGTGAACAGCATGCCTGTCACTGATCCCAGCTCTGTCAAGGGAACCAAGAACTTCCGGTGTAAGGATGTTTTTTCTCCGCGTTTTCGAAGGCATGGATTTGGACTGGTAAGGCTTGATGTCGAAGGTCCTGAGAAATCTGCATCCTGTGATTCGTCGGAGGAGGTGTCTTCCAGCACAGCCGTGTCAAACATTTTCCTTTTCGCTTCCTCACTAGCATCTTTTCTCTTCTTCATTTGGTTATCTCGTTTTTCTTTCTCCTTTTCCTTATTCTCCAAGTTCTTGTCCAATCCTGCCATAGATCCTCGCCTACCAGGTTCCCGTTGAGCAAGCAAAAATTGCTTATCTTCTTCAATGTTTATTATTTGCAGAGCATCGCCATGAGAAATATCAAACAGATTCGGAAACTCAGCAATAAAAGCTTCTTCATTCCTCTTCTGTGTTTCAGTTTTTCTGTTTTTGTTTTTCTTAAGGTTATCCCAAGTCAGAACCAAATCTTCCAACTTCTTTATTGCTCTTTGTTCATCCCGGACTGGTATTCTTGCACGGCTCCAGTACGTGAAGAGTTGTCGAATTGTTTCTTTGGCAGCTGAATGCTTCGTTTCTTCAACGACCTTCAGATGGTAAAAAAACACACCAAGGACGTCCTGTATTGATGGCAATTTAGCGCCTGTAAACTCTTCTTTCACTGTCCCAAGTAAATATATCTCAGACTGCTTCCTTGTCGATACTGCCATGGCAACTTTATTAATTAATTTCTATAACACAAATAAAAAACACATGTTCACAAGCAACTAGTGTAGACAAAAGCACGTTAAAGTAAGCAACAAAGGAGATCAGGCTAAAACAAACCCTGCCACAGTCGGTACGGTGGTCCTTATTTCATACTTTTGGCATTATGGCGTGGCTGGACAGCTCGGGCACATACACCAAAATTCCGGGTCATTGAGCATACCCTAAATATTATTTAATTGTAAAAATCTTTCAGGGTATTTTGTTTTTGAACAATTGGATCCCTCCTAGGGGGCGCCCGTATTAAAATTCAAAAGTTGTAAAATAAGGACCACCCTAATATATATATATGTATATATATATATATATATATATATATATATGTATATATATATATATATATATACATATATATATATATATATATATATATATATGTATATATATATATATATATATATATATATATATATATATATATATATATATATATATATATATATATATATATATATATATTGTTGTAAACTTAATTAACGGTTAATGGTTTTTATATTTCTTGATATTTTTAGTTCAAATTAATTATTATTATTTTTTTTCTAAAATTTCTTATTTAAATTGCATTTTTTTTATCTTAAAAAAATAACACAAGAAAAACTATTCGTTATAAGTTAAATAACAGATTCCCCCCCAACTGTTGTCAACTGTGTTTCAAAATGTCTTTGAATTGTGTGGATCGACACAAAGTTCATCCCATCGATAAAACATAAAGCACACTGTCACAAATTTTTACAACCTTGTAATACCGCTTCTCTTTTTCTTGTACATACTTTGCAGTAAATTTCAATAACGCATGTAGTTCAGTTGGTTATTTCAGTTCTAAAGCTTATTACCATCAACTTTCCATTTAATAAATGTTGACATCATTACTTTGTTTCCTTTTGGAATGTCCTTGATTTCGAACATTCTAAACAACAGAATCATTTTAAATTTGAGTTAAAACAAATAATAGTTAATAAAAAACCTATACTATGAATAAAAACTAATTTTAAAAATTACTCTGTTAATAATATTTATTTTTATTATAAACAATGTATGGAATATTACAAACAATAAATCAAATAAATCTTACTTTATATTTTCACAAGATTAAAAATATTCTGCAGTTTCAATTTTCTTATAACAGTTTTCTAATTTTCTATTCTTATTTTATTTGCATTTTTATATTCGCATTGTGTTTCCACGTGCACATTCCATTATTGAAATTAGTGACTTTTAATGACTTCCAACTGCTCGTTCATTACATTGGTGCAAAAAAGAATGAGGTAGTGCTTTTTATATTTTATATCAGTGCTTCAATAATATAATCTTTACTAAAAATTCTTTTTTTAATCTTTATGAAAAAAAATCTTTATGAAAAAAAAAAAAAACTTATTATTTTTTTGTTCCGAACTCTTGGACAAGCGTTATTTTATACGCTCGTTATAAGCTGAACAAGCGTTGTTTATTGCGCCTAGAACATTTGAAAATATCATTACGAACGCGTTTTACGAGCGGAGCGTGATCAGGCTCGCTTTATCACAAGCCCTGTATATATATATATATATATATATATATATATATATATATATATATATATATATATATATATATATATATATATATATATATATATATATATACAGGGCTTTTCTTGTTACTACTTGTTTTTTTACTCTTGTCAGTTTTTTTTATTTTTGTCAGTTAACTGACAAGTGTAAGCTGCTGATTGACTTTAACTGGAAATATTCTTCCTCCTTTTGCTTGAATAAGCAAAATTTTTCTTTATCCTAACTTGAAAATCTTTGGACCAACTCATGCAAGTTTTAGCATATTGTTCTGATGATGCAGTATTTGAACCTTTTTATGATTGGAACCTGAAGCTATATTTGAAGGACAATATATGCATTTTTTTTTCTGTTGATGGAAAGCAAGGATTTAAAAAAGTTTTAGGCTTAAAAGATATTCTATAGTTTTGTTGTGCCTTTGGTCCTAAAGGATGTTTTTCAGTTATTTTTTTTTCAGGATATTTGAGTTTATGAAATAAAATAGTTACATGCACTGTACATTAATGTCAAAGCTTTGATAACAATTTTAGAAAATTTGTAGACAGACGGCAATGAATACATGTCATGTCACCAACATCTTTTTTTCATAAAAAAGTTTGGCATGAGTTGCAAATATGACTTGAAATAGTTCATTTGCATATTTTATGTCACTTTTTACCTTTTATTTGGTTTTAGCAACTATGAAATCAATTAAATAGTTTTAAGTAAATCATTCTTGCTATGTGCAGTGAATGTTCTGTGCTTTTTCTTTATATGGTCCAAGAGCAAAACTTTATTTAGTTGGTGCACAAAAGTGTGGAGTAACAAAAAAACAAACTTTGTGCACTAAATAAAAAAAAATAATAATAATTTTGATTCCAAGAGACGAACTTGGAGCCTTTGGATTACTAGCCTGAAGCAAAATCCACTTGGCCATGCTTATGTTGAAAGTTGGAAGAAAATTGTATTTATAAAATAATATTTTTGCATGTATAATATATTGTTATGTATTATATATTATATATATAGTATTTTGCATGTATTATATATTGGAAGAATAGATTTTTAATATTGTTAATTTATACAATTTTACATGGAACTATTTGGGTAAAAAAAAAAAAATTAAAAAAACTGAAAAGTACTAATTAATTAACTCAAAGAAGTTTAGAGAATTATAGACATTATATTTTAAAATCGTTTTGTATTTTGTAAAATTCTGTACCCCCATAAAAAAATTTTTTAGGGATTTTTTAGGGATTTTTTAGGGATTTTTTTAGGGGGGAAGCATGGCCAAGTGGATTTTTAGGGGGGAAAGAGGTAAAAATTAATGTATAATAATGGGGAGGGGGTCAATAAAGTGTTATGGAGGTGGTAGGGGTCAAAAACTGTGTTATGTAATTTATGGATGACCCTTTTGACACTAGTATTATCAAGATTTCTCAGGAGTGGTGTGCAGTCGCCTTATATGACCATGAATACAATTTTTTTTTTAACTACTTGACCATGGTTTCTTGCAAATTTTGATAATATGTGCGTTTAAAAAAACAAATCGAAATCGAAAATTAAAAATAAACAAACTATAAACTAAAAAGAGAAACAAACTTAACAAATGATAAAATAAATAAAGGATAAACCAGAGAAAATAAAAGCATAAATTTATATTATATTTATATTTAAATTATACTTTTTAATTTAGAACTGTCTCAATTAATAGTTAAAACAAATTAATTTAAAATTATCTCAATTAATGCTTTAAAGTTGATAATTTTTTATATATTACTATGCTAGTTTAGCGCTTATTTGATTTATTGTTACATTTAAGAGGTCTGACTGTTAGTTTGACGCTGGATGAGGTTTCTAATCCTTTTAATGAATAATTCCTTTTTATGTTTTGTTTGCTAAGCAGACATTAGAAAATATAAAAGTTTCAAAATATATTTTTTTAATAATTAAGTTTTGAAGTAATTAAGCTTGAATTAAATTACTTTTGAACTTTGATCTATTCTAAATTCTGTTGTGAAATACTTTTAAGTTGAAATAAATTTTTTGGTTAACTTTAATTTATTTTATCATTTTTTTTGTGTTTTTAGTTTTATTTCTTTTTTCAGTTCAAGTTTTAATTTTAATTATTAAATCTCTATATTAATTTTAGTTTAAGTTTACATTAGTCTATTCAGTCCATTTTATAAATGCTCTAATTTGCAAAACTTGCAAATAGCCATGGCTAAACTGTCAAAACAAAATATTGTATGCGTGGTTATATAAGGCGTGCAGCCGTTAGCTTTTCCTGAGAAACCTTGATTAATATTAAAAAAGTTTGTTTGCACTATGCCTGGATGATTGCCATCTTAAAAGCAAAAAAGTACTAAATCCACTTATTTAAATACACACATTTTCGGGCTCAGACAATATAAAAGATTTTAAAACATTTTCAAATGTACTCATAAATCTTATAAAATGCTTCTATAGAAGGATTTTTTAGTCCAGTCAGATAAGGTTAATTGTAAGTTTTACAAGGATTTATTTAAATGATTTGTAAATAGATGTTTAAAAACTGTTATATTAAGTCATTTAAAAATAGTTAATAACACTTTGCTTTTAATTTTTTCAAAACTAGTTATTTAAAAATTTGTAATTAAGTAAACAGATTTGTGCATAATTTAAGCAAGAAGGAGAGAAAAATTAAATAGAAGTCAAGTTTACAACATATTTATTTTCTTTATTAGCATATACCAGATGATTGCTATTACCATGGGAAAATTCGTGATGTTGAAGACTCTTATGTTTTCATTAGTACTTGTAGTGGCGGATTGATGTGAGTATTTTGTTTAAAAAGCATTTTTTTCAGCTTTAAAACTGAAAAAATACTTTCAGCTTTTTTTGTTAGTTATTGAGATAAAAAAATTGAATTTAATCATAAAAACAACAGTTAAATAAAAAATTTTAATTTTTTTATTTTTTTTCAAATAAAAACTTGTTACCAAAAAAAAAAAAAAAAATTATGGAATCAGACTGAACATTTTTGTATAAAATAAAGAATTATGCTTTATATTGCAACGCCACAAAAATAACTATTTTAACTAAAATAATCATTTTTTATAACCAACTGATTTAATAGTAGATTAAAATATTTTACAAAGTATATTAAATATTTTAAAATATTTTACAAAATATATTAAATATTTTAAAATATTTTACAAAATATATTAAATTTTTTAAAATATTTTACAAAATATATTAAATTTTTTAAAATATTTTACAAAATATATTAAATTTTTTAAAATATTTTACAAAATATATTAAATATTTTAAAATACTTTACAAAATATATTAAATATTTTAAAATGTTTTACAATATATATTAAATATTTTAAAATGTTTTACAAAATATATTAAATATTTTAAAATATTTTACAAAATATATTAAATATTTTAAAATACTTTACAAAATATATTAAATATTTTAAAATGTTTTACAAAATATATTAAATATTTTAAAATATTTTACAAAAAAACTGATCATTTTTTATAATTAACTGATTTAATAATAGATTAAAATATTTTTTTTGCAGAGGAACAATAGATAATGGAAAAACAATTCATGATATATTGCCAACTGTAAGTTTATGTTTTAGTTAAAATATATCGAAAAATTGTTTTTAAACGAATATGTTAAAATGTTAAGCTTCTATCAAAGCCTAGTTATAGCAGTCTATAACTTTTTTTCTTATGAGTATATTCTCTAAGATATTTTATTTTCACAAATCATATTCATCTATTTCACTAATATTTAATTAACATACAAAACTTAGCTTTATGATTTCATTACAGAAGTTAGAAGGGTTTTTTACAAAAATTGTTTTGTAATATATTTATGTTACAAAACAGTTTTTTTTTTTAATAAAAAATGTTTTCTCTAATGATTTAAAAATTTATGCAATCACAAAATTTACAAAAGTTTATATTTCTTGTAATATATTATATAAGTATTAAGACTTTGGTCTTATCTCATCATAAGGCATATCTGGATGACCACAAGTTTTTATAACAATAAAATTTGAGAGTAAACTCACAAATATAACAAAAATAACATAATTTCATTTTGATACTTCTAATAACAAAAAATGTATTTAAAATGTAATAAAAATCAATAAATAAAACCATCACTAAAGTAAACCATAATCAAAGTTAAAATTACCTTTTTTAATTCTAATAAAAAATATGCAACTTAAAATCAAGAAAGCTTCAGAGCGGTTTAAAACACCTGTCTTCTTATAAAAGTCTATTATTTAGTCTGACTTTTTACCATTTTTATTTTGCTCAAATATCTAGCTACTGTTGTAAATGAATAGTAGATTTATTTTATATTCTTTTTTATACTAATATTTAACTTGGAACACTTGTGTTAATGTTACAAATTTTCAAAACATAGTTTAACAACTTACCATGGATTTGGATCTTATTTCAAAACAATAACTTTTAATAGTGTTCCATAATTATATTTTTTAATATAATATTATTTAGGAAACAGTAAAATTTAAAAGAATCATGAATGTGTCTTCTAGTAATTTTAGAAATTAAAGTCATATTATATAAAAGTTAAATAATTTTTGTTCAATATAAACAATATAAGAAACTTTAAAATATAAGAACAATTGTAGAAAACTAGTCAAAAGCAGCAAGTCCTTACATATTTTGGATTGGTTTATTGTTCTTTATTTGATTTTGAATGATTGAAATAATTTTTGGCAAGTAGCTAAACTAAAATTATAATAATATAAGTTGGTCAATAAATATTATCATATATTGTATTATTTTTATATCAGGCTGTCAAGTTGTCATTTTTTTCATTTTTTTAAAGTCTTTTATATGAACTTTTTTTTTCCTCAAGTGAATTTTTACAATTTAAAATACATTTATAAAAGAGACCAATAAAAAGATGAAAAATTAAGAAAAAAAAAAATAAATAAAACAGCGATTCGACAGCCTGTAATATATCATGTTCTATTTTATCATATACCATGTTTTTTTATATCATTTTTTTATTTATATATCTATTTTTTTAATTATCTATCTATTTTTTATTTATCTATCTATTTTTTTTATCTATCTTTTTTATTTATTTATTTAGTTTGATGGTAATAAACATCGTTTAATAAATGCTGATGCAGTTATTCAAAGATCTTTTGATATATTGCAAAATCTATCTTACATAGGTGAATATATTTTATATAACTTAATTTAACTTATCTGAGATTTAATATTTATCTGAGACTAAAATATGCATAAAGTAATAAAAACACCAATTTACATTTAAAAATTATATAGAAAATAATCAAAATCAGTTTTTTACTTCACTGTTTTTAACTTTAACTAAAATTGTTCGCCAGTCAATATTAAATCATATTCAACATTTTCACCTAAAGTCTGAATTTATAGATACAAGATTATGCACCCTATTTTATTATATACCTATTTTACTTAAAATTATTATTTGTTTCCAATATTAGGTTGTTTTTTTATCCTACTGATAGTGTGTACATTACGTCTGTTTGCTTTAATAGAAATCCTTTTACAAATATCTTAAATACAATAATAAAGCTAAAAACCTTTATTTAAGTATATTACTGCTAACAAACTGCATAAAAAAATTTACATTTACCTATGCAAGCTAATAGTTTATATCTATTTTTTGACACTAAAATACAGGTCTAAATCAAAGCTGATTTTTGCTAGATAGTCTCAAAATAAATTGAAAATACATAACTAAGATAACTATACCAGATGAGTTTACTAGAGCCATTGAATAATAATTAAATAAATATCAATATATAATAATAAATATAATAGAAGTAACTGATCTAAATAAAATCTAACATGTTGAAAACAAGTATGTTCAACCTGTTAAATTTAATTTATGACTAATTTAATGCATAGAAAAATTGGTTAATTCAAAAATACTATAAAAAGAATAATTTCACATAATTAACAAAAAAAAAATCAAAATGCTAGTTTTTTTTACCAATATTTGTTTCACAACAAATAAGATTTTTGTAAAGAAATTTTTTTTTGTTTAAAAAATATTACTTTTATATTTATAAATTGAAATTTATTTTTAAACTTTAGTTTTTAAATATTTTTGTAATTTTAATTTGCTTAGAGTCTAATGTTGATAATTTTGTTTAAAACAAAATTATCAACATTAAACCCTAAATGTATTTATAAGCAAACTTATAAATTTTTTCAATTTTTTTAAATTATTTGTATTTGACTATTTTTAAAAAATAGTTCATGTAGGCCCTCCTTTAGGATTATGCTTCTCCAATAATCTTTTAGATGCCAAAGTGAAGAAAATGTTTGCTCACATTTGATCAAGTTACGGGTTAAGTAGCAAGTAAATTAAGACACACGTTAATGTTTCCAAAACCCAAAAAAGTTTATTGTTTTAATGTCTTGTTAATATAAGATAGCTTTGAAGTTTACCCTGTGTAATTCCATCATGTCTTGGTTAGTATACTTCTGTACTAATAAAGTTACTAAAATATAAGATGTACACTAAAGGTAGGTAATAAGGACAAATGCTTTATAGCAATTGTGTTGAGCTCAGTGTTCAGATGGTCTAACATAATAATTAAAATGATCAATTTAATAAATAAGCAGGTATTCAGGAGGAGTGTCTATCGTTTTAAATACGCAAGTTAATTGACTAAAATTGGATAAAACTTTTAATTGGCCAAGTGCTTCCAAAGATTTTTTTTGTGTGTTTGATGCATCCAATTATTATTTTGATTTGTTTTGATGTAAAAATTGATCTTTGTCTGTAACATTCTGCTTCTAAATTGCAACATTATGCTTCTAAATTTCCAGAAAGTTTTTCTAAAAAAAGTCTTGTGAATAAAGATATTTATATTTAATTTTATATTTTTCTTTAAATTTTTTTTCTTTCCAAGTTGATCATTAGAAATATTAATTCACATGATTAAATCAATTGATCAAAATCAATTGATGCATTTTATTGTATATTTGTATAAATACAACTGTAAAAGAATAAATTTTAACTGATATCACTCAGTCGAAAATAGCATCTAAAATAAATTTTAAAAAGACATGTATATATATTTTTATATTTTTTATATTATATATACAGTATTGGCCATTAAAAACAATCCATCATAATTAACCATCCATCCATAGTTATCCATCCATCCATAATTAACCATCCATAATTAACTATCCATCCATAATTAACCAAACCATCATAAAAAAATAACCATTTAATTTCAAACTTGTATTCATTTAAGCATGAATACAAGTTTGAAATTAAATATTTTATAAACTAAAAGATTTTTTAAAAAGTGATTTTTTCATAAGTTTTTTTTTTAAATTAAAATAAACCAAATAATTACAATTTATTATAAAACAATTAAAATTAAAATTAATAGAATTAATATTTTGTTGAACTGAATCTTTTTGCTTTTAAGCATTCATGGATATGTTTCAATATAGAATTTACTAAATTCTGATTAATATCTTATGGAACACTATTCAGAAATTTTATTACTAGTTCTTTCATCTGGTCCAGATCTTTTATTTCAATTTTACCAAGATTGTGGTTTTACCAAGACTACAAATAATCTATGTAATTGAAATATTGGCCTAGACATGACTTTGTTTTGTTCAAACAATTATTTGAGCACTAGCATTAACACGCTTTTTCGCCTTTTTTAACTGAGAGCAGTTGGTGATTTGATAATGATTATCCTATAGTTAATCATTATCAAATCACCAATTGCACTTATAAAATCACCACTTTAAAACGTAATTTAGAGTGGCTTATAAAAGTAAAGAGGTGAATATATAATCTACTCTTTTATTTCACTTTTGAGTTAGAGTTATGTTAGAGTTTTGAGTTATGTTAGAGTTTTGAGTTAGAGTTACAATATAACATAATAAAATTATTTTTTTTTATAGAACATGGTAGAGATCAAAGAAAAAATTTCAGATTTCAAAGAAGTTTTTTTTTATCTAATGTAAGTTTTTTAGAGCTCTTTTTTTGTTGTTATTGAATCATATAGAATCTTGAACCTTTATTCTTTGTTTGAATCTATCTACACTGGGTTATTTTCAACAAGCAGGAAGATTTTTGTATTATTGGCATTTATTTTTTTATGATATTCATAAACTTTATTTCAAATGATTAATTAAAAAAACTATTTTTATGTATTAATTGTATATGTATTAGTCAGGTACACAACTTAAGGTATTTTTACATCCGGTACCCTAATTAACATGATTGATTCTTTGATGTCTACTTACAAAACTTATTAGACACACCTAATATTTTTAACTTGCAACCTCCACCCACCTTTACATCTTCAAGCTTTATGATTAAATAGCAGATTTTTTCAATAATTTGAAATAGAGTTTCAGTATGAATAATAAATATTCAAATTTTAGCAAACAATCTTGCTCAATAATGTTGATTCGCAGTACGTTCCTTATATGACACACAAAGTGCCTCGATATATTGAAGCATTTGTTAGTTGTGACCACAGAATGGTAATTTAATTTTTTAGATTTGTAAAGTTTTATAAGTTTAAGTAATAACTTAAAATAATAAATTTGAAATCATACTTTTTATTATTTATTAATACTTTTTATTTTTTGTAATAAGAGTAGTAATAGTTAAAGTTTTTATTGTTTTTGTTGTTGTAATTATTATTTATTATTATTATTGTTATTTTATTAATAATAGTAATAAAAGTTTTGAGAATTTTGTTTTTACATTTAAAACTGAAATGATAAATATTTTATTAAAAGTAGTTAACAATCATTTTTTTAACATATTTAGCTACCTAGGTATAATAATGATAGCAATTTGCTAATTGAAAGAGTCTTAAATTCATTTGCTCAAGTTGATAAGGTTGGTTGATAACAATTATTTTATTTTTATTATATTGATTGTTTTTAATATCTTTAATCATTAATTACTTTGTTATTAATTTTTTAAATTTAATCTCATATCAGTTTTAAAAACTACATTTAATCAAAGAATAATTACAAAAATATTTATAATTCTCTCTAACAAAAATTCTGATGCTCAATTTTTTAATGTTTCTCAGGTCCTCTTATATGCCATTATGTCCCTATTTGCTCTGAGCAAGTAGAGATATTTAGCATTTTCACATTTTAAAACAAAATAGAAAAAGAAAAAGAATGATATAAATGATTTTTTGTTGTTGTGATGTGTATATATATAAAACATTCAATATATTTTTAGGCTTATCAAGAAATTAATATACGACTTATTGTAGTTGCAATTGATATACAGAAAGATCAGTCATCATTTCAACGATTTGAAAAGGGTGGTATGGATTTGTCATCTTTTAAAAATTATGTAAACAAATTTGTCAAAAAATCATCTGGCTTTAAAGATGTTAGTTTTGATGTTGGAATATTTTTGAGGTTGGTTTAGTGTATAATATATTTTTAGTTTAAATATAATTTTTTAATTTTGTTTGATTGATTTAAAATAGGATTTATACTAATTTATGTTACAATTTATGCCTAATTTATGCTAGTTTATTAAATTATGCGGTAGTGGTGTAGTGGTAGAGCGCTCGCTTCATAAACGAGTGGTTCCGAGTTCGATCCCCACCACATCCCTGGTAGTACCGCGCTCAACTCGTTTCTCCACGCAGCGGCCTTGTTCGTCAAGGTTCGTGTTTCAGAGTTATAGAGTTGAGAGAGGGTTATAGCCACAAAATAAGTAGCCTCCTCGTCTGTAGTGGCCTTCTTGGCCTTGAGGAGGTGAATTAAAATGAAAAAAAAAAAAATAATAAATTGTCCTCTTGCTTTTTAAAAAGTTATGCTCTAATAACGGTACAATTATAATAACGGTACAATTATAAACTATCCTCTTGCTATTTGCAAAAAAAAAAGATTGATTAAAAACTTGTATAACATTGACACCGGAACATATTAAGTGAAGCTGCTGATGGAATGGTATCAGCTGTATTAAAATTTTGATTTGCGTTATTTATTTATACTTTTAAAATGAGGAATAAAATTAATTATTGTAACTGACTAAGCAAATTACAATATTCTGTAGCAAGTTTCTGAAATTCTTGAAACTGTTAGTAGTAAAGAAATCAAACTCACATAAGACATTTGAAATTATGAACAAATAAGGTCCAATAGTCATAAAACTACTAGATAAAGCTGAACATAAATTTATATATATAAAAGAAAACCATCAATTTATATATATAAAAGAGAACCATAAATTTATATATATAAAAGAGAACCATAAATTTATATATATAAAAGAGAACCATAAATTTATATATATAAAAGAGAACCATAAATTTATATATATATATATATATATATATATATATATATATATATATATATATATATATATATATATATATATATATATATATATATATATATATATATATATATATATATATATATATATATATATTTCTGATCAAACTGAAGCACAAAGACTGTTAAATCACTCACAATTGGAAAAGTACCATTTAAATAGAATTTGGTAAACATAACCCAATACAAAAAAGGAAACATGCTTATTGCAAGACCAATATTTTTAACTTTGGTTTCTAAAATCCTCTAAAGTATTATAACTGATGCAATATATAAACTGATTTCAAATAATCATAAATAAAACATCAGTATGAGTAAGTAAAAGGGTAGTCTTATTTAATAAATATAGCTGAAACAATCAACATTTTGAGTAAATTATTAACAGAAAACACTCTAGTAGACATCTGCAATTTCGACTTTACTAAAGTTTTTGATACAGTGCCTGATATCTAGTGTCTGGAATTAACAACTGGATTTGAGATTATAAAAAGTTTACAAATTTCTAATCTCTTTGTTGATGACACTATGTTAATTAGAAAAGGAATTAACTTTGAGATTCATCAATTACTTTGAATTAGTTAAGATACTTTATGTAACATTTGTAAGACATTATCTTTATTTAACAATATAAACATAGTGTCCATACCTTATTAATGGTATTGATGCACAAAAATTTCTATGTTATGCTACTAAAATTTTCATAATATAAATTTTTATGCAAAGTTATGAATGATGCAATATTTGTGGATGATACAATAGTTGTAAATAATGCAGTAGTTGTAAAAGTTAAAATGATTGTTAAAGTATTTAGAGAGTATTTGTAAGGTTTTACATAATAAAGAGAAAAGCCAAAGAGTTTTATGCTTCTTTCTGTACTGGCGTATTTTAAATATTTGATTTTTATATCTACAAAAAGCTTTGTGTTGTATCTCAAGAAGAAATAAGGGCATAACATCGCATATTTAATGAGATGTGCTAGGAAAGTTACATAATGCAAAAATAGTATCAACATTTTTATTGAACCAAATTACATATCTATACATGTGTATATTTTCTTTTAAAAATGCTCAAATATTATTTTTTACTCATTTTTATTATTGATTATTATTGATTGTTCAGCTATCTATATAAATATGAATACTAATAGCATGAGAGAGAAAAACTAGAACAACATCTTTACTTTTCCAAGAATAATCTCAAGGCACACTTAAAATTTTTATTTGTGTATGACTGTACTGGTGTCAAATTGTCAGCTGAGAACCAAGAGTTTCTCCACATTATGCATTTATTTATGTTTTCTATAAAAAAATGTTCACCAACCAGTGGGTCGTGTGTCAACTGAATCTGAACACAAAAATAATAAAAATTATTAAATAATAATCAGTAGGACTTTCTGGCAGAAATAATCAGTACAAAAACAATGGACATACGGCCTCCTGGTTCTTGGCTGGCAATTTGTGAAATTTTTTAAAAAAAAGTTTATTATACCTAATTTCATCTGAAGAAAATTTGAAAAACAATATTCTGTCTTTAATTAAATTTATTGATAGAATAAAAATCTCTAAAGTCTTTCATGTGAAGCATGAAACAATATAATTTGAAAAACACACTTCTGTAAAGAAAATTATTTTTCCTTTTAGTCACAAAAGTTGGTCAGATAGTTTGGGAATGGCTTATGTTAATTCAATGTGTGAAGACAGTGCTGCAAGTGTTGTAACTGTAATGTTATTCATTTTAAAAATCTTTTATGTTAAGTTTTTATAACTAATATTTTATAACTTATTTTATAACTAATGATAAAAAGGTTAAGTATTATAATTATTATTTAATTATTAATTGATTATTATCTGGCATAAGTTTTAGTTATTTTCATTTAAAAATTTTTTCCCCACATTTTTCTGTAAAAGTTTCATTTTTTTCCTCAGCGGACTTAATTTCAATTGATTGTTTTATGTAGTAGACTCAGGGTTTCAAGATTTTCTCATGTAAAGCAAACATTTTCAAGTACACTGCTATTAATTAATTATATTTAGTTTGTTAATTTTAATTCATAATTACTATTAGACAAAAAAGAAGGTATTTAGAGTTTAAAAAATACATTTTTTTTAACTTTTAATACCTTCTTTTTTGTTTAAGTGGGACCTTTGTATTGTGCAAAGGATAATTAATATTTTGAATTTGAATTAATATTTTGATATATTAAAAATATGAGTATTTAATATGTATATGATTTTGATTTAAAATATATGAAATGTATGTTAAATATATTTGAGTTGGATTTTGTACTCATGTATCTGTTTAATTTTATTTGTCTTAGATTTATTTTCTGCCTAATAGTCAATAAAAAAATAAAAAAAAGCTTACACTTTTTATCTAAACAACCTTTGAGTTATGATTTTCAATAATTACTGTGTTTTATGAATAAATCCTAAAAACCGTTGGTTTAGTCAAAAACAGGATCATAATGATCACACTAACACTGGTAATATAATTCAGTACATGCTACCAGTACATATACATGATACAGTACATCTACATGTTCTGCTGTTTTGTGCAGCTTGCTTTATTAGTCTCTGCATTAAATTACTCCATTGCCTTAGAGCTCTTGCTTGAGTAAAAGCTAGAAGTGGTGTCCTAGTAAAAATAGTCATCTTGGAGAGTTGTTGGGAGATGTAGCTAGATGACTACATCTAGCTACTATCTAGCTACTACCATAAGCAAGGAGTGAGAATTTGTGAGAGTTTAGTAAATTTCTGTTGATCATCCTTGCACTCTACTTTACTTTTTTGATTGTTTTGAATCTACTCATTGGTTTTTGCTGTGTCTCCTTAGTGCAACTCTTTCTATTATCTCTTAATAAGGGTGCAGCTTTAAAATTCAATTTAATGATTTTGAAGTCACTTGCTGCAAGGTTTTCTGAACTCCGTGGTAGCTCTAGAAGATAGTGGTTTCATCAGAAGCTGAAAAGTATCATAGTGGTATTTAGTACAATGGCAGATTTTGTATGGTTGATGTATTTTTTTTGTATGGTTGATGTCTCTGTATTTTTTATTCTCAAGACCACATAAAGAGACCTTTGTTGAGACTTGATTAGTTGAGACTTGATTAGTTGAGACTTGATTAGTTGAGACTTGATTAGGTTTGTCTTTTAGAAACATTTGTGGTCTTTCAAGAAACTTTTCATCATATTTCAAAGTTTAATAAACTTAGTTTGCTCTTTGCAAGACTAATTTGAATTTGACTGTTTTATTTTATTTCTCAGTAACAATTATCCTTTGGTTTGCTAAAACTTCAATAACCATATGCTTGGCTTGGGCATATATTTACTTATCAACTCTCCTATTTGTTGTGAAATCTAGTTTTGATACTAATTTTTTTTTGTGCATTCCATTAGCACAACTTATCCTTTACCTTTGTTTCTTGATTTGTGTCTTGTCTCCAAGCCAACTTGCACTTTGGCAGTTTATCTTTATTCTTTTTTAGGTAATTTAAACCAAGGTATGATCTCACTAAAAATTTTATCTTATTCTTCAACATTACTCTACAAAACACTTTGTACCACTACCTTTAAACTAAATGGAATTTTATTTTTGGTTTTTGTGATGATCTTTAGGTTGCTGTCTTTCTTCTCTCTCTGCTGAAAATTGTGCCTCATACATTATCTCCTTGATTTAACCAGGCATAAAAGGTTTTTAAGTCAAGCCTTTTCCAAAAAATTACTCTTTTTCTACATTATTTTCTATAGGTTTTTACATTATTTTATAGGTTTTTACCTATATATAGGCATCACCTATATAAACAGGTTTTCTTCTTGAACATATACTATTTCTTGTTGTAAATATTTCATTTATATTTTTACCAAAACAACTTTCTTGAGAAAAATTATTTTTTTATTATTGCAAAGAATTGATTTAATTAGATATTATAAAAATCAGGTTGGTTACTGTCAAATCAATGTGTGTTGTAATTATAAACATGCAATGTAAATAATTGAAAGTTGAAAAAACACTTTTTTTCAAAATTTTTATAACTTATTTTACTTATTTTAGTTAATAATTATTTATTATTCTTTTTGACTTAATAAACAAAAATTAGTTGATTCTGAACTTAAGAAAAACTTTTTTATATGATCAATAATTTCTTTTATGATTAAGATCTATTTTTACATGAAATTTAATTTTTATTGTTGATTTAATTATAACAGAATTATGTAATAAATAAAAGAATTTTATGCATATGAGTTTCTTGACATACTGAAAACTTTTTGTATTTGTTTTATTTTATATACATATTTTTTTCTTACTATAAATAACATACACACACACACACACACACATATATATATATATATATACATATGTATGTATATATATATATATATATATATATATATATATATATATATATATATATATATACATGTTATTTACTTTTTAGTGGAATTATGACAGTATAAGTGGTCCTACTTATGTGCTTGGGCATGAATTAGGGCATAACATGGGATTCTATCATGATAATAGTAAATTTTAATCTATCACATTAATTTTATATTAACTATTGTATATATATATATATATATATATATATATATATATATATATATATATATATATATATATATATATATGTATATATACATATATATATATATATATATATATATATATATATATATATATATATATATATATATATATATATATATATATATATATATATATATATATATATATATATATATATATATATATATTAAACATCTTCGCTTTCAACAAGGCTGCAAGCAACCACTAATTAGTGTTGGAAGTTACTGGAAGAATAAAGATGAAAATTGTAGAGCAAGATAACGATTGACAGACGACTTAAAAGATTGCAAATTATATGAATCAGGAAAGCAAGATGAAGGAAGCGAATTCCAAAGAACTGATGTTCGAGGAAAAAAACTAGACGAATAAGAGTTTTTGGAGCACTTAGGAACAGTAACAGAAAAAAGATGAGACTTAATTGAATGACAAGTAACATGAGATTGAATTTTAGTAGATGGAACAAAAGACGCTAGCTTTTTAGAGCAGTGCCCATTATAGTATTTGTAGAAAAGAGAAATAGAAGCAACATTATGACGATGTGACAAAGGTTGAAGGTTGGCTACAAGAACAGGTCCAACTATGTTTACAATGCGTTTTTGCACCTTGTCTAAAAAAGAAAGGGCATCATTAGCAGATCCACCCCAGATATAGCCAAACTTTATCAAACGCTTTAGAAATGTCAAGAGCGATGGCCTTAACCTCTCCACCTTTATCTAATGCGCAATAAAACCTATCAGTTATTACTGTTAGCAAATCAGCTGTAGAACGAGAAGATCGAAATCCATATTGATGATCAGAAAGTAGGTTATGAGATTTGAGATGAGAGATTAAGTGTTTGTTAATTAAAGATTCAAAAACCTTGCTTATGATAGTAAGAAGACTAATGGGACGGTAGTTAGACAAATCGGATTGATCTCCAGAATTTTTAAAAATAGGGATAACAGATGTTGCTTTCCAGCAGGCTGGAAAACAAGACTCTGATAAGCACTTATTAAATAGTTTTGAAAGGATAGATGAACACTTCTGCAAGACTATAACAGGTATGTTGTCCGGGCCGCAAGCTGTAGAAGAGTCTAAGCAGGAAATCACTTTAGACAGAAACTGGAGTGATACAGATGTCAAGCAGTGGATCAACCTGTTTGGCAGCAATATCAGATAGAACGCAACTAGTGGAATCAAGAGATGATATTGATGAAAAGTTTTTGGCAAACAATTCAGCTTTGTCTTTAGGTGAGGTGACAAAGTCTGAACCGTACAAAAGAGGTAGAATTACAGACTTGCCCTTATTATTGATACTATTAAAGATTCTCACGAAGTCATGAGAGCCTAATTTTTGTGATGAAATACGAGATTTCATGATCTGAGAATAGCAGGCTTTGGCATTAGACAAAACCTTTTTACAATGGTTCCTAGCAGTAATAAACAGACGTCTGTTTTCTGCAGAATTATTTTGCTGATAGATATGGAAGTAATGGTTTCCATATCTGTCAGCAATATATATATATATATATATATATATATATATATATATATATATATATATATATATATATATATATATATATATATATATATATATATATATATATATATATATATACAAAAAGATGTAAAAGCGAATAAACGTAAGAAAAAAGTTAACAGTCATAGTTCTAGGGTACTTAGCATATTACTATCTTTAGTAATATGCTAAGTACCCTAGAACTATGATTTATTTTTTTTATTATATGGGCTGATAAAGGTCGTGAATTAATTGTATATTAAAACTTTCAATTGTTGTTAAATCGTTATAAAAGATATTTTTTTCAACAATTCTTTTTTTTATCAAAAAAAAAAAAGAATACATAAGTTGCATAAAAATTTTAATAAAAAAAATAAAATTATTTGCTTTTTTTAATTATTAAATTTTCTAGTTTATGTAGCTAAACTTGATATTTCGTTATAATTTTATTTCCTTTTTGTTAGGATTGTTTTTTTTTTTTTTAGTAGATAAGTTTAGCTTTTTGCCTCAAATTATTGAAACACTTTATAAGTTAAAATATTCGACCTACAGTGGTCAGTTTGTTTGAAAGAGTTACTTTAAGCATGGACGAACAAGGTTTGCGACCCCACGCGCTTCTCTATAAAAATATTGATTAAAAACTTATTATGCATTTAAAATTTCACATACATTGGCAGCTTATTGTCATTGTTACCTTCTAAACAGAAAAATTGTAACTTCATAGCAACTGTCAGGTCAGGAGTATGGTCTTCATGATCATCCTGCTACTGGTAACATGTTACCCAGTGCAACCTGTTCCATGTTCTGCTGCCTTGCAGGATTTGCTATCTAAGCAAAGGCTGGAAGGAGTGTTCTTCCTGTCATCAGTACTATCTTATATCAGTCATGCCTATAGTATTTTTTATTTTTTTTTTAAATTCCATATAGTTGGAGGTGCCTTAGTTACTGTATTAGCTCACCTGTAATCAACGTTATATGTATGTTTGTGTTCTGTCTGAACCTCTGGCGCGGTGTTCGCTTACCCGTAAGTTACTTTATGTTTAGGTTTATGTTTTTTATGTTTTTTTATGTATGTTTGTGTTCTGTCTGAATCTCTGGCGCAGTGTTCGCTCACCCGTAAGTTACTTTATGTTTCTTATGTATGTTTGTGTTCTGTCTGAACCTCTGGCGCAGTGTTGACTCACCCGTAAGTTGATTTATGTTTGTTTGTGTTCTGTTTATACTCTAATGCAGCGTGAGCTCAGTAACTAACTACTTACTCCAACTACAAAACCTACACTCACCTTAGACTTCTGTATTTTGTTAGATGCAGTGTTTTTCCTAATGCACTTCCAAAATGTCATGCCTGGTTTTCTCAAAGTACTGTTGCGGGAAGTAACTCCTTTTAACTACTCCAGGTCAGGTCAGGATAATTGAGATCAATCTTGCTACTGGTATCACGTAACCCAGTACCACCTGCCACAAGCCCTGCTGCCTTGCAGAGTGCGCTCTTCTTATGCAAAGGCTAGGAGAAATAAACTCCAACTAAAAATTCCCCTGCCTTGGGGCTCTTGGTTGAGTAAAGGCTAGAGATGGTGTCTCGATAAAAACACTCATCTTGGGCAGATGTTAACTGCATCCAGCTAAACATCCCCTGCCTTAGGGCTCTTGGTTGAGTAAAGGCTAGAGATGGTGTCTCGATAAAAATACTCATCTTGGGCAGATGTTAACTGCATCCTGCTACTGTCTTGTAGAAGGCCTCCTAGGCAAAGACTTTAAGGGTAAGCAGAAAAATTCTGCTAACCAGCCTCGAACCCCTTCTTTATCTATTAGGCTGGCATAGATGTAACCTGTGTTACATTGTTTTCTGCCTAGGATGATGAATGCTGGATCTCCTTGACTCTACTCATAGAATTTTGCTTATGCCTCCTTGATAATGGCTATGCAACTCTTCCTGTTATCTCCATATGAGGGTACAGCTCTAAAACTCAGTTTAATGGTTCTGAGGCCGGCTGGTAGTAAGGTTTCCCGAACTCTGTGGTAGCTCTCAGAGAGGCTGATTCCATCAACAGCTGCAAAATATCAGAGTATTAACAGTGCCATGTTGCGCATGGATGGTGTCCCTGTTAATGCTTTTGGTGTGCATTGTCAAGGCCACATAAGGAGCCCTATGTCACGGCTTAGGGTTAATTAACAGGACTGAGACAACTGCATAGCTCATTGATTAGGAGGCTGTGCTCTATCTATGAATGAGTCTAGTTCTCATTAAACCCAAATCATGACCAAAGTAACCAAAAATTTAAAACCTAAAAAACCACCCCCACCACCTAAATATTTTAATATATCTTTTACAAATATTCGCGGTCTACGAAGCAACTTTCCATCAGTTGAGTCTTACCTCCTGCAAAATTCACCAGACTTGCTTGCACTCAATGAAACAAATTTAAGTTCTGCAATTCCTTCTTCAGATGTCAGTGTTGATGGGTACTATCCTTTGATTCGTAAAGACACAAATAGTCACATGCTAAGTTTAGGGGTATACATACGCATTAATTCCCCTATTTGTCGTGAAATCAGGTTCGAATCCTTTGACCATTCTTTTATGTGCTTTCGCCTAGCACCTCTTCACTCTATCACCTTTCTCTTTGTTCTTTATCGTTCTCCTTCTTCCCATGATTGCACTCTTTTAGATGTTATCTCTGATCAAATTGACCATGCCCTCTCTCTTTACCCCTCTGCCATTATTGTTGTTGTTGGTGATTTTAATGCCCATCACACTGAATGGCTTGGCTCTAATACCACTGATCCTGCTGGCACTAAAGCCTTTAACTTCTGCGTTTCTAAATCTCTTACTCAGATAGTTAACTTTGTGACTCGTTTTCCTGACAACCCTAATCATTTACCTTCACTCCTTGACTTTTGTTTTGTCTCTGACCCTAGCTTATGTTCAGTTTCTCCCTTTTCTCCCTTAGGTGATTCTGACCATGCAATGATCTCTATAAATCTTTCTTCTCGTATTTCTTTTTTGGGCTCACCTTATCATCGCATCACCTACTACTACCCTAAAGCTGACTGGGATTCCTTTCATGATTTTCTTCGTGATGGTCCTTGGGCTGATGTTTTTTCTCTCTCAGCTGACAAATGCGCCTCCTACGTAACTTCCTGGATTCAGGCTGGAATGAAAGCTTTTATTCCTTCTCGTCGGTTTCAAGTCAAGCCTCATTCTACTCCATGGTTTTCTCCTTTTTGTGCGGCTGCTATAACCAATCATAATCATTTTTTTCATCTTTTTTAAAAGAACAACTCTCTTGAGAACAAACGGCTATTTATTATTGCAAGAAATCGATGTAAAAAGGTGCTTTCTGATGCTAAACTCAATTATTCTCAGTTCACTAAATCTCGCATCTTATCGCAGAAGTTAGGCTCTGAAGACTTTTGGAATATCTTCAACAGCATTGTTAACAAGGGTAGATCTAACATTCCATCTCTCATTCATGGGACTGATCTTATTACCTCTCCCAGGGATAAGGCAGAACTGTTTGCAAAGAACTTTTCTTCTAATTCCACTCTTGAATCTTATGGACATTCTCTTCCTTCCATTCCAGTCAAACAGGTTGACCCATTGTTAGACATTCAAATCACTCCGGCTTCTGTTGCTAAAGTCATATCTCAATTAAACTCGTCTACAGCTTGTGGTCCAGACAACATTCCTGTCACAGTCTTGCAGAATTGTTCTCCAGAACTTTCTTCAATTCTCTCTAAACTATTTAACAAGTGTTTGACTGAGTCTTGTTTTCCTGCTTGTTGGAAAATGGCATCTGTGGTTCCAATATTCAAAAACTCTGGAGAAAATTCTGACCCCTCCAATTATCGTCTGATCAGTCTTCTTTCTGTTATTAGCAAGATCTTTGAGTCTTTGATCAACAAATTCCTCACATCTCATCTTGAGTCAAATAAACTGCTGTCAGACAATCAATACGGTTTTCGATCCTCTCACTCTACGGCCGACTTGCTAACTGCTGTAACTGAAAGATTTTATCGTGCATTAGATGGAGGCGGTGAGGCTAGGGCTATTGCTCTCGACATATCTAAAGCTTTCGACAAAGTTTGGCATGCTGGTCTTCTCCATAAGCTTGCTTCATATGGTGTTTCTGGGAAAGTTTTTGAGATTATCAAATCATTTCTTTCTGACCGGTTTATTAAAGTCATCCTTGTAGGCCAACACTCTTCTTTATTTCCAGTAACTTCTGGGGTTCTCCAAGGTTCCAACCTGGGCCCTGTTTTGTTTCTTATCTACATAAACGATCTTCTTGACAACCTTTCATCTAAAGTAGCTCTTTTTGCTGATGACTCAACTTTATACTCTTGTCTTGACAAAAAGTCTTCTCTTTTCGATCGCCTAGAACAAGCAGCTGATCTTGAATCCGATCTCACTTCAGTAATAGATTGGGATTCACAGTGGCTTGTGAGTTTCAACTCTAACAAAACCCAGTTGTTTACTGCAAACAACTACCGTAATATGGTCAACATTCCTATATTAATGAATGGCAATCCTCTTACTGAGTCCTCCTCTTTACGTCTTCTTGGATTATCCCTTACTACTGACCTTTCATGGAAACCATATATACAATCGATTGCTAAATTAGCTTCTGCTAAGGTTGCTTCTCTTTATTGTGCTTGCCATTTCCTTACTTCTGATTCCATTCTCTACCTCTACAAATCTCTTATTCGTCCCTGTATGGAATACTGCTGTCATATTTGGGCTGGTTCTTCTAACGATTCACTTTCTCTTCTTGACAAGGTCCAAAAACGCATTGTAAATGTTGTTGGACCTGGACTGTCTGCTAGGCTTGAACCTCTTTCCCATCGTTGTAAAGTTGCATCTCTTTCTCTTTTCTACAGATACTATCATGGTCACTGCTCAAAGGAGTTATCATCTCTAGTTCCATCAACTAAAATTCATTCTCGTTTTACTCGTCATTCAGCTAAGTCTCATTCGTTTACTGTATCTGTCCCTGCATGCTCTAAAAAAACTTTTATTCATCTAGTTTTTTTCCTCCCACTTTAATCCTTTGGAACTCTCTCCCATCTTCATGTTTTCCTGACTCATACAACCTTCAACTTTTCAAGTCTTCTGTTAACCGTTTCCTTGCTCTATAACTCTGTTCTTTTTTTTCCCTAGTAACTCCCAACTTAATAGTGGTTGCTTGCAGCCTTGTTGGGAGTGAATGCAAATAAAAAAAGTAAATTGTTGTTTCAATATTCCATGACATCATGCCATTTACAACTTCAATAGCTTTTCATATTTTTTTTAAGTCTGTTTAAGCAGGTTTTGTAATGAATTTTTTTGAGAGTTGTTATCCAACATGAATTTTCACTAAAATTTGTTTAACAGCAAAGTTTTATAAAAAAAAACAAGAAAAAAACAAACAAAAAAAACCCTCTATACACAGTGTTGCTGCAAGAAAGCAACATAAAAAAGAGCGAGAAAAGTATTTTAAAATACTTAAAAATGTATGCAAACTTTTCATGTTATTGATTCAGATTATAGTTGTGTATGAATATAGAAATAATAAATTTTAAATTTTATGAATAGTTTATGACCATATCTGTGAATAGAATTATAAGAAAATACAAAAAGTATTTTACTTTTTAAATTTTTTTACTGATATGTAGTTATGCAATAGCATTTATATAAGAATACATATATAGAGGAGTCATTAGACTTGATTATATATTTTTTCCCAGACAAAGCCCACATGAAACTTTTATTGTTGTTATGAACAATATAAACTCAATAGCCATGCATGGACCACACCAATGCTATTTCTTAAAGAGGAGTGGCAATTAAGTAACTGACATATGCTTTTCACCTTTGAGTTACTTAAAACTTTCATTCACAAATATAGTATGGCATTTGTCCTGATTTATCGTAATTTTAATGCATTTGATAAAATAAAATTAAAAGAAAACTTTACTTTTATTTTGTAAAGGAGCTACTAACTTTTCTAAAGACCTAAGTAGTATAACTCTCTCATTCCAACTCATTGCAATAATTGGTTATAGTTAAGTTTAAGTTTAAAAGAAAATTTACAACAAAAATGATTCTTAACTTCAGTTAATTAAGGTGGTATAACTTACATATCTGAAAAAAACAATAATTGATTGTTTTCATAAGTACAAAACATTAGGTTTTTATTGGGATGTCAGAAAGCTTTATCAAAGGTCAATTGTGCATGTCTACTATGATGCAGTGCACATATAAACTGAGCTATTGACCAATGAAAATAAGTTGTTTAGTTGGATAAATATACTTTTGGCAATGCATTTAAAGATCCTGTATTTGGAGGCATAGCAATGAAAGCTATCTTTCAGAGTGTATTAATTTTTTTAGGGGGTTTTGAGCAAGTTTAAAACTGGCTTTAAGTTTAAGGATTAGTAATATAAAGTGGAAGAGTTGCTTATTTTGAAGATAATCTATTTGATCTTGAAAAGTTTTCATCCCTAAGCATTTGAATTTCATTTAATGCTGTTTTAAGTAAAAGTTGCTCATAATTGAATTTATTTTTGCATCAACAACTAAATATTTTTCTATTTGCGAGGCTGTTAAAACTAACATAGTTTATCCAACATCTTGCTAATGCTTGTGTAGTTACTTATCATCCTAGAAGGGCTACTACCTCTATAAAAGTGGATTGCCTTTGGGTCATGATAAATTTATTATATTAGTTATCAACATACGAATATTTATTACACAGAGACTAAAAAACTTGTTGTTTTTTGACTAACATTTGTTTAATTGACTAGTATTAGTTATTTACCATTAATTAAATAACTAATCAGTATTAAGTAGTTACTTAAATTAACTGAACAAATTAATTTAGTTTAATTTAGGTAATTTAATTTAACTAACACATTAAAATCAAATTAAATTGTTTTTGTGCATTATAATTTTTTTTTAATTTTTATATAAAGAGATTTTAAAAAGAATATAAATAATATTGTAAATTTTTTTAGTAAGTTGTACTTGTTTAACAAACAAAGGGTGTTTCATGGGGGCTTCCAAGTAAGTTGACTTTTTTTAACATAAATTTTATATAAATTTCCAATGAATATACAATTCTTTTTTATTTGATATTTTTAATTTTGGTATTTCAAAAGATATTTTTTCTACTTTACATATTATTTACAATGATTATAATTATAGTTGTAATCATTACATATATATATATATATATATATATATATATATATATATATATATATATATATATATATATATATATATATATATATATATATATATATATATATATATATATATATATATATATATACATACATATATATATATATATATATATAGATATATATATATGTATATATATATATATATATATATATGTATACATATATATATGTATATATATATATATATGTATATATATATATATGTATATATATATATATATATATATACATATATATATGTATACATATATATATGTATATATATATATATATGTATATATATATATATATATATATATATATATATATATATATATATATATATTTATATATATATATATATATATATATATATATATATATATATATATTTATATATAATATATATATATATATATATATATATATATATATATATATATATATATATATATATATATATATATATATATATATATATATATATATATATATATATATATATATATAGAAAAAATTTAAAACCTTAAATTTTTTTTTTTAAAAAATGATAGACTGCCTGCCTAAACCAAACCCTCAGTCGATGTAGCAGCACTCCCTTGCAAGTCAGGCTATTTGTCAGTCGTTGTAGCAGCACTCCTTTGCGAGTCAGGCTATTTGTCAGTCAATGTAGCAGCACTCCCTTGCGAGTCAGGCTATTTGTCAGTCGATGTAGCAATATATATATATGCATATATATAAACATATATATACACATATATATACATATATATACATATATATATATATATGTATATATATATATATATATATATATATATATATATATATATATATATATATATTTTTTTTTTTTTTTTTTATTTTTTTATTTTTTTATTTTTTTATTTTTACTAAAACAGGAATGGAAAATTATTTTTACATTCCTGTTTTAGTAAAAATAAAATATATATATATTTAAAAAGGAACAGGAATGTAAAATTATTTTTTCAACTTTTTTTAAAAATTTTAAAGACAACTTTTTCAGGTCTATCAAACCAGGTTTTTCTGATTGCAATATAAAAGTTATTCAAAGGAATACTTACCCTTGTCTTACAGACTATTCCTATACAGTAAGTTTTTTTTTTTACAATTTTTGCTTAAATACTGAGGTTTCCACCAAAAACAGTTGAATTTTTTTATTCTCATTTTAACACATTTTCCACTTAACAAGAATACATATATAGAGGAGTAATTAATTGTCAAGACAATTTTTTTTTATAATTGAAATTTATTGATACAACATTTGGTTTTTAGCATTAGTGATGTAACAAATAAATCTTTGATTTCCCCTTTTTTTATGTTTTATTAATTGTCTATAACAATATTTGTTTTTATTTTTTTCTATTGGCACCCAGTGAAATAATACAATTGGTGCATAACTAGCAGCAAAATTAAATGCTTCAATAATTAGATGATTCAATAAATAATTTTTAATAAAATTAAATAATAATTTACTATATTAAAAAAATTCTATTAGTTATTTAATTTAGTCAATAAAAAAAGTTTGTGGAAATGGGATACTTGAAGACGATGAAGAATGTGACTGTGGAACTTTTGAGGTTTGATAAATAATTTTTAAGTTTAATTATGTAGTTTGTGCTATATATATATATATATATATATATATATATATATATATATATATATATATATATATATATATATATATATATATATATATATATATATATATATATATATATATATATATATTTATGTATATATATATGTATATATAAATATATATATATATATAAATATATATACATATATATATATATATATATATATATATATATATATATATATATATATATATATATATATATATATATATATATTTATGTATATATGTATATATATATATAAATATATATATATATATATATATATATATATATATATATATACATATATGTATATATATATATATATATATATATATATATATATATATATATATATATATATATATATATATGTATATATATATATATATATATATATATATATATATATATATATGTATATATATATATATATATGTATATATATATATATATATATATATATATATATATTTATATATATATATATATATATATATATATATATATATATATATATATATGTATATATATATATATATATATATATATGTATATATGTATATATATATATATATATATATATATATCAGGCCTTATGATGAATAAAAACTGTGCGGCGCATAAGCACGATGTGATTTTTGATGTCATTAAATTCTTTTTATTTGCTTTTCATATTTATTGACATTAACTGCACCAATTCACTTAATTACAGCAAAACTACTTTAAATCATTAATGTAGAAATGTTATTATTTAAAAATGTTTTGGAATGTTTTGTTTTTTATAATGTAAAAACATTTGTTTATTTTCTCGACATTTGACACATTTTGTTTATACTAAACGAATAAAAGACATAACTAAACATTTAAAAAAGATTATAAAATATGCTCATATTTGATTTTTTTTTTCTCAAATATGTAATTTTCAAATAATTATTTTTTCTTTTTAAAAAGTCAGCAAGTAATAAACTGGAAATTTTAATATTGTACGAATAAAAACTGTGCAATAGCTAATATTTTTACCAGCGATTGTATATAATATTTTTTTATTTATTTATTTTCATATAATGGTTGATAAGCACAATCACTTGTATTACTAAAAAACTTTAACGAACGTTTTGAATAGATTTTTAATGTTTACAAGGAATTTTATTTCTAGTAAAATAATATATAATAAAATGTTAGAATAAAAATTTTATAGGTATAAAAGACATATTTCAGCAAAAAAGTTTGCAAATGGAACAATATTTAATAAAAGATGCTCTAAAATAAAAAAAAGAAAACATTACGTGGTTAAATTAATTTTATTTTATAAATAAACTTTTATACTAAATATATATAGTTCTAATTATATATAGTTCTCGAAGATTGTCGGTCAAAATATCATCTTCGCTATCAATGTCTTTATCACTTCTTTGATTAGCGAATCATAGTCTTCTAAGCTTAGCTGAGTTTTTTCATCATCGACAATAACACTTTTTCTACGCTTTTTTATGTACTTTGTGAGAGAACACTTAATTAAATCATTGTAATCTTCTCTAGTCCAAAGACTATGGTTTCCATGAATAACAAAACAATCCACAAGCGCTTCGTGACTTAAGGAGATATCTGTTAAAATATTTGTGGCAGTGTTAAATGTCCTTTTTACTTGCGAGTTTGAGCCAGATATGCACATGTCTAACGATACTAGCCAACATACATTTGGAAATTCAGTAATATATTTTTTGAAAATAAGCTCCCACAAACTACGAACTGGATGACATTCAAACTCAGTTCGAACAAGCAGCTTTACTTTTTTCCATTCCCTAAGAGCAACTTCTCTTTGATAACCAGCGTTTTTTAATGGCGTCTCAAAATGATCGCTTGTATAGTTTATTTCTTGCACTCCAGAGTCTGAATCTTCCTTTATCCAATGAATTGGGTCAATAAACTTCATACTTCTGTAAAGTATAAGCTCTCTAGAGTAGTCTTTAAATCTACTTGATAGTAACAATTAAAGTTTTGAAAGAATTGTTCTTTTAATTTGACAAATTTGCTCAATTGATTCGTTTTGAAGAAAACTATTTATTTCCAGCATTACGCTGACATAAGTATGATTGTTTGCATGTTTTCGTTTACCCCCAGCTTTAGCAAATAAACATTTGACTTCACTATTGTTGGTGACCATGTAGCGGCTTATATAACTGTCCAAAAACTTGTTGTCTTTTCCAATTGATAAAATTTTGTCTCTAATATCGTTGTCTTTTCCGATTGATAAAATTTTGTCTTCAATCTCTAATATAGTACGATTGATTGTTGCGGGAATTTCATGAGGTAATAGCTCATTAGTTTCAAATACTTTAGAGGCAGGAATAATTAGTTCCAAACAATCAAGATATAAACCCACTTTATAAAGGAACAAGTGACACTTAAATGACCTTAACAAGCCTTTTACTTTAGATACAGTGTTTTTATTTGTCTGTTCGCTTGCATAATTTTGGTAAGCCGTAATAAAAGCTGGCCATGTTTCTAACATATTAAAAACTTCCTTCTTCCTATGTCCAACAAATCGCATTCCTGTTATTTTTTGGTAAATTGTAATGCGTTATACCAGGGCATTTTGATGCTGCTTCAACTTCCGCTTTTAATTTACCTTAATTTCTTAATAGGTAGTAATTAGCTAGATAAAATTTGTCAATCTGTGCAAAATCAGGTATTTTATTAAATGCATCTTTTATTGCCAATTCAATTCAATGATTAATACAATGGCTTTTAATTAACCAGGGACGATTTTGTTGCATCTGTGACAGTACACCAATATGTGCACCAAAGTTTATGCTTGCACCATCCGCACATATAACTTTGTTGGTATAATGTTCTTTACTTAATCTAAATAATGATTTGTCTGATTCAAATACACTGTTTATACCAGTAGTTAATGAATTTGAATCACTACCCCCAAATAGGGACATATTCAACAACTCCGTGACCATGTAAATAGGTATCCCCTTGCGGTCTGTTCGAACCAAAACTAGTACTTTTTCCTTTCCCATTTTTCTAGCCTGACTACCATCGCTAAGAATAAAAAAAAGTTGCACAATTTGAGAATTTCAGCACATTTTTCACGGACGATGTCTGCTCAACATTTAATTACTTCTCTGCCTGTGGAACCATTTTCTTTGCGTCTTATCAAGCTTGCGCCACTTATTTTTGCACACCTCACCTTAAAGATGTTCATTAAACAGTAAAAAATTATTTAAAAAAATTCATTACACATAGCCAAAGACAAAAATTAAGTTTTATAATTTTATTTCACACATTTAAAAGCAAGTTTAAACCTTACAAATACAGAAAAATAAGTATGAGGTATAGTGGGATGGCACGCCATTTCATAAGCAATTTTTACCTGGTAACGATAGGAATTTTGTATGCGTGTTTCTTTTAACATCAATTGGTTGTAAAGTATACTTTTTGACGAATTTTTGGAATCAACCTGAGATCATTTATAGAAGTAATACAAATTTAGAGATAGATGTTAATGAAGTTAATTGTATTTGTATTTTGTAATAAAAAGTGATTTTATCCATTTTAATTTAAAAATAAAATTACTTATTTCTTGTTTTTAAAATTTTATGCTTTAATGTGCATTGAATATAAACTGCAATTGCATTTAAATTGGAACAAATTTTCTAAATAAAACATTTTTAACCTTTATATTTTTTGCTCCTTTGTTTTCCTTGCATCCTTTATTTTCTAATTGCGTTGCATACTGGTGAGCCGTTCCTGATATATGTCTTGAAACACCATTCTTTTTAATACAACTTGTGCCATTGATATACTGTAAAGTAGAAGCTTTTACTGCACCAATGGTTTTTGATAATATAGTGTTTCTATGGTTAGCACACAATTTACATACGATATTAACAACATAAGTCTTCTCATTTTCTTTGATAGTTTCGATGTGAAAAAGGTCCAAATTGTCCCAACTTTTAAAAGTTTTCAAGCTGACTCTTTTGTTGTTCAAAATACTATCCATATTTTAACTTTAAATAATTTGTTGAGAATAGGAATAGTTTTTTATACCTTGTATATTTTTAAAGATTGTCTCCATTTAAATAGAAAAATAAATAGTCATTAGTAAAGTAGTTAATGATAATTTAAGGTTAATTTTTGTTTTCTAATTATTTTTGGTTGCATTAACCAAATATTATTACAAAACAAAAAGGAAATAAAAATTTATTTCATGGGTTCCACAGCGTGCGCGTACCTAAGAAAACCTCAATTGTGACATTACAGAAATGTTATAAGTGGAAGTCACGCTCGACCCTTTTTTAAAATAACGGCTAACTTGGTTTATAAAAAAAATTTGTTATGTTTTTCAATTTATTTGCCTAATGTGCTATAGTGGATTTTTAACTAAACGTTTTGATTCAAAAATTTGCTTTAAACAATTTCTTGTCTGGATCCTTTATACTTCTTGTTAATATGTGTAATATTTGAAGTAATGAAATAAATTATTTAAGGAAAAGAGACTCTAGCATTTTTTTTTTTTCATGTGTATAAATGCAAGATATTTTATACAATGAAATTCTACTAAAAAATATAACATAAAATCTACTAACAGTAGTGGTAAAATAACTTCTTTTTTTTTTTAAGAAAAAAAATTAATGCACGTTTTATATATGTCCTCATTTAGATATACTTTATATTTTAAGTTTTATGAAATGGCTTATGACTTATACAGATTGCAAATTAATTTTTATTTTATTTTTTACTTTTATTGAGCCTTTTTCAGGGTGTTTGTGGAAATTCGCTTTACATTGGTAGAAACCGGGTAACAAAACTAGGTTATATAAACTTATCAAACTATTGACGTTCTATTTTTCAGCAGCTGTTTTTGAGCACGCTTCGTTGAGTTTCTGTAACTTTTAACAAAAAAGCGATTGTTATTATTTAAGTAATTTTTTTTGAGTTACTTTTTACAAAAATTTTGATAACTGTACTCTTTTATTGAATCAAGTAGAATACGTTTTAATATTAATCCTTTTATTATATTTTATTTGGGATTACCAATTTTTAAAATGTTTCCTCGAAATTACTCTTAAATACTTTAAATACGTCTATCAGTTAATAAATATTTTTTAAATCTATGGAGTAATTTTAAGACCTAACAAACCCCTATAAAATAGTTATTTAAGTTAAAAATCTAAAACTAAAAGAAAGTATTTTTGTTCAGATTTATCGACAACTTTGCTGAAGGGTAAAAATTTCTCAAAAAATACAAAAAAACACAAATCTGCACCCTATATCACCAAAATTTTTGAAACTTGGCACAAATGTTTATAGATATATATTAGGAAAGATTGTACTTTTTTTTTTATAAAATTCCTTACCGTTTATAATTTACAGCAATTTGAAGTTTCCTTGATTTTGGCTAAAAACTGAGGGGGGAAAAGTGCCAAAAATCATTCTGTTTACTTTCACCTTATTATGGTGCTTGTAGTGATGCCACAATTCTGAAACTTTGTACCAAAAGAGTTTAAAACTGTTAAATCCAAAAAATATGTTTTTTTTTATGTCAAAACATATTCTTCTGATGAAATTTATATGAAATTTATGCATTCAATGTTTTCATTGCAGTATTTATACATTGTTTGTGGAGATAAAATATGATTATCCATATCTCTTTGCAAACTTGCTAGTGTTGCCAGACGTTTGACTGTACCACCTATCCCATCACAAGGTTGCTTACCATGACTAGTTGCAAAAAAGTTCCATTTAGCAGTAAAACCAAAATCTTCACAATGGAAACAAAGATTTAACATATTTTTGCAATTCTTATATTAACCTGCACACCCATCGGAAAAGTATTCAATATTTTTTATTTGAGGCAAATTTGTTTTTATATCATTGCAAACAACCTCAATAATTTTATAAACCATGTCCACACCATGGATCATATCATCCGAAATAATACAATAGGATTTGTGCTTGAGAATGCCTTCTTTTTTGAAATAAATAATCACTGGATGAAGTGTACATTGTAAATTTGTCCCATGAAAGCTTTGCACTTCATCCTGAACTACAAATTTATAGTATTCTGAAAAATCACCCAGAAATAATGCTGTTACCTCATTCATATCTTCCTTTCTTGATCTCAGGTATAATGCTTGACTCTTTGCTAAATACGAAGGTGGTGCAAGTTTTTCCAGTTTTCTACATACTAGTTCAATGTATTCAAACACTGGCTCTTTATTATGTGTCAAGTTTGACCTATCTGTTGTTGTCCATTGATCAAATTCAATCTCATCATCATCTTCAAATTCTTCAAGTATATCATAAAGTTTTTCAACCAATGCATTCATAGTTGCTGGGCATTTTTCAGATTTCCTCATCATACAGTCTTTATTAGTTATAACACAGACAATATAAAGTAACAATTCTTTGTATGTCACACCAAGAGGATGTAAAAGCAGTTTCAAATTCTGATGAATAGCACAGACACATACAGAATGTGTTCCTGAGGCACCAACAGTAATACACCATTTAGGTCGCAAGGTGCAAAACCTTGAAAATCCTATTTTTATTTCTGGTTTCTTGGTTTTAAAGGCAACAAAAAATGCCTTTAAATTACATAAGAGAAAACGTTTTTGCATGTGGACATTTTTCTTTATTATGCTTACCTTTTTACCAGGCATTATACGGCTATGTTCATCGTCTTCGTAAAAGGTCTTGACCAGTTGAACTGTTACATCAGGAAGAGTTTTTCCAAATTTAGGATTAGGCATGGTTAAAATACCTTTTTCTAATGTTAACTTACATGCAGTTCGAGCTACATAGTTTGTTACATGCAATGTTTCAGATACCTTTTTTATTGACCAGTCTGTTGGAGCAAGTGTTGCAAGTTGCACTTTTTTTGATTTTGATGTAGACTCTGCAATTTTGTTAGTTAACAATAGCATCATGTTATCAAACAAGTTTGCTTTTTTTATATACTCATTATTAAAACTTGACTATTCTTCAAAACTTTCTTCTAATATATTAAGGGAAATGGCTACCTTTTTTTAATGGAGGTTGTTAATGCTGTCAATTTTCGTTTACCTTCTCTGATTTTATCTGACTGGTGCAATTCTTTGACCTTAATTGGAGATAATCTGGCAAATGCAAAGTGTGTATCTACACTTTCTTTTTTATTTTGAATGGATCTTTCATTAACAATATCAAAATCTTCATCATTTTTATTTTCACTTATACTTTTTGATAAACATGTCACAACTTTACTTCGACAGGTTGGACACAGTTTTTTTCCAGGTATAAGATTTAAACCTATGGTTTCTGCTTCTAACACAGTATGCATTGTAATCACACGTAGATATGCTTAAAAAGAAAGTAATTACATTACTTAAATAACATTAATTATATATATTATGTAATTATATTAGTATACAATTTGTTATATTAATAACTATAAAACATTGAACAAATCTTTTTACCAAAAAAACTTATATGACTTATTAATAATGATATAACCTAATGAAATATAAATATATAAATTTTTACCTCTAAACACCTTTTGGTGACTCAGAAATGGATTACAGCAACTTTTCTGATTACCCCCATATTTTACAACTAACATATCATGATGGTGTGTGCATATATTAGTAATTTGTTCTTGTTTCAGATTTGTTGGTTTTTCAAGTAGCTTATGAACATTGCTGCCAATATCTTAAATCAGATTTCTTTCTTGAGTATATGATTGTTAATAACAAGCTCCATAATTATTTACAAAACAGCAATTAATTTTGTTATCCATATAAAAATATAATAAGGAATCTCTGTTTAAACACTTAATACAAGAAATCTTAAATAATCTTAATGTCCCTAACAAGAAAAGTACACTTGAACACAAACAATATCATATCAATATGTATTTATAAAGAACATATTGCTTGAACAAGTAGCTATTTGTTTAATAGACACATTTTAAATGCCTAACTATCTACTAATTATTGTAAATTCTCCATTAACTACTTACAAAAAGTTGTGTAAAAGTAAAAGATAACTAAATATAGTTTTATTTAGTTATGTAACTTAACATCGTAATGTTAATTAGACATTATTATATCATTTTATTACTTTTTTTATTGATGATAATAAATGTTTTATTACAACAAAACAATCAACAACAAAAGTTACATAATATTGTTAAATTTAATGACATGATATTATGTAATGAAAATGACATTATTATTATGTAATGAAAGTAAAAAGAAATAAGTTTATAAAATGCTCAACTATGTTTTGTAATAACTTTGTAAATTTTTTACAAAGCTATTACAAAACAAAAATAATTGTATTTGTATTCAAAATATATTTGCAAATTTTTTTTTTTTTTGCAAAATATCTTGAAAAACTGAAAATTGAAAAACTAAAACATCAATAACTCCTTGATAAAATATAAGGCCAAATAAAAATTGGTTTGCAAAGTAGATATGTTTAATATTTAAAATAACGAAAACAAAAACTTTTTTTTATCAGTCAGATTTTTTCTAGAACTATAGTTGTCAATGGCCTTTTTTATTGTCATTAACAAGTACGTTTTGTGGATCTAAAAATAAACTATATTTTATTGTTTTGAGAGATATGAGTTGATGATTTTCAGATTCAGCAGGTTTTAAACTCCTTTGGTACCAAGTTTTAGCTTTGCAGCATTACTACAAGTTTGTTAAAGGGTAATGGTAAATTGACATATTTCCAGCTTTATTTATTTTTTGACTGAAAAAGAGGGGGGCCTCTTTTTTCAGTCAAAAAATAACTAACTTCAAGTTGCTGTAAATCTTAAAGGGTTGAGAATTTTTTGAAAAAATTTTACAATCTTTCCTAACTTATATATACTTATATATAACTACTTGTAAATAATGAGCATATTTAATTTTTTTGTAATTCAAACTTTTATATCAACTGCGTGCGGTTTTTAAAATACTTTATTAAATGTTAAAATAATCGTAAATTACTTAATTAAAATTCCGCTCAAAAATATCTTTAAATATACTCAAACAAAAAATTTTTTGCTCGATTTGCTTGACGCAAATAGCCCTAGCTACACGCAAAATCGCTCTTGGACGACATAAAATTCACATTGCCTGATGCTTTATTGCAAGGCCTGATATATATATATATATATATATATATATATATATATATATATATATATATATATATATATATATATATATATATATATATATATATATATATATATATATATATATATATATATATATATATATATGTATATGTATATGTATATATATATATTTATATATACATACATATATATATATATATACATATATATATATATATATATATATATATATATATATATATATATATATATATATATATATATATATATATATATATATATATATATATATATATATATATATATATATATATATATGATGTATGTACTTATATATATATATATATATATATATATATATATATATATATATATATATATATATATATATATATATATATATACATATAAAATAGCTTTTGCTAACATCTTTTTGCAATAATGTAGTAGTTCCTATATTGTTTAATGAATATATATGAATGTTGTAGAAGTTAGGTTTTACATTGCTTAATGCTAAGCCAAATTAATGTATGCAGTTTGTGTTGACTTATACTAAATCAAGTTAGCACTTTTGCTGATAAACTCTTTGGCTGATTTTAACTAATATTTTTTCTTGTGTATGCTCCTTTACATTTACAAAAATGAGTCTTTGAAAACTAATCTGTATGAATATATCTTTTAACTCTGTTATAACTTTTCTTGTGTTGTAGATGTGTTTAAGAAATGGAGACAATTGCTGTGAACCACATGGTTGTGTTTTAAAGGCACATGCTCAATGCAGTTACATTAATAATCCAGAATGCTGTTCAACTGAGTGTATTGTAAGTTTGTACATTTAATGTTTGTATTATAACCTCAATCAAGTAGTTGTTACTTGTTATTTGTGATTTTTTTGATCTTGCTTTAATAACAAACAATTAATTAAATTTAATTACAAACAACACATTGTAACAACACCTTTTAATCACTTCCCTAAAGTTCATTTTAAATGGGCTTCATTTTGGTTGCATAAGTATAAAAAATATTGCATCCAGAATTGCGTTTTTGTTTATTGACCATCATCTAAATACATACATCTGTATTTAGGTCTGCATTTATTATATTGAATTTCAATTGACTCTTGAATTTTTTTTCAAAAATTGGAAGGTTTTTTTTTATTAGTTTTTATCTGCTCCCATTTTATATATTGCATGTAGGTTTGATTTTAGGATGCCCATTGTCCATTACAAATAAAAAAGTTGTCCACATATATACCAATGGCAAGGCTTCTGAATATGCTACCTACCATATAAATCATTATGCTAAAACAACATGAAATTACTCAGTTAATTGATGTATTAATAAATATAAATTGTTTTTACTTACTTACTAAGTAAAGTATAATATTTCAAAGACCAAATTGAATTTTATTCGTAATGGATAATCCCAATTGCAGAATGGCCTTATTTTTCATCTAATACTTATCTTTTAATATTTTTGGTGTTGTTTTATTGTTTAAGAATTAATATATGTTAATATATATGCATATATAATAAGACATATATGTGCATTATTGTGTCCCAAAAATATATCATAAATTGAATTTCAATATGCGAAATTCCGCATTTGTCATCATTTTTTTCTATAAATACTAAAAAAAAAAAAAATTAAGTCTATCTAAAGCGAAAAGTTATTTGGTGAATTTACTTTTATTTTATTACATAAAATTTGACTTAAAAATGACTTTATTCATATTATTCTGATTACAGTTGTTACCTAAACAAACAAAAAAATTGGTGCGTGTTAAACAAATATGCTTGTCATAAAATTTTTAAGTGAATTTTTTAAAATGAATTTTTTCACAACAAAATGAACAGCAAATAATTTTAAGAATGAAGGCGCATGCGCGGATACAGCATTTTTTAATGTTTGAGGTTAGCTTTCAGAAATGGAACAAACTGCAAACATATATGTTTATACATATGTCAAGTAAGGATGTCTTGCAGAAAATTGCAATTATTGGAACCTGGGAACAAAAAAACCCTAAAATTTAAGCTACAGCTAGCCCAAATGTGAGACCAACAAGTTGATAAATTATTTTTTTTACTGTTCTCAACTAATCTATATTCATCAATAAAATTTAAAATTGACAAAAAAATCTTTTAACCTTCAAAAACTATGAACAATAAAAAGTTTGACCCTCCCCCCCCCCCCCTCTTAATTTGAGTGGGTTACTCATTTTTCCCAAACATCAAAAAATTACTTTTTTCAAACATCAAAAAATAATTATGTAATATAACATAAACCAATATTATTAATACAAATAACATTTAACTAAACAATTTTAATATCTTTCTTTGTAGCGTTTTTTGAAATTTTTTGCCGGTTCCTCTGAACTATCTAAATTACATAAATTTATAAAAAGTACTACTTATACATTAACAATCATTGTTATTAATAACAACTAAAAATCACATTTATATATCATGTTGTTGAACAAAATACCTGGAGAGTATCCTGAAGCCTATCTTCATTTTGTGTTCTCTCAATTAAATCTTGAATTAACTTAATGCGGCGTTCTGCACGGTCATTTACAACTTCAAATGTCCTTACACACATTGAAAAGTAAAAGACTGAGAAACTTCCTCCTTTTCACATGTTTTATTGCCTTTTTTTTTCTATAGCAGAATTTCCTTCTTGGAGATCTTCAATAGCAAGAACAAAAGGTAGGGCTGCTCGTTGGCAAAATTGTCTAATTTTGATGTAGGAATAATTTCAACCTTAGTTTCAGGCCTCATTTTAATCAGGTCTTTTAACTCCAGGATATCATAAAAAAGCAGCTTGTTAAACATGTTGGTCTTAACTTCGGTTTTCAGATCCTTATCAGCAAAAATTACTTACCAAGTATGACGCATAAGACTTTGGTAAAGAACCTTTCCTATTGCTGTAAATTCTTTAAACTTTTCTACTGTTTGTGGCTGAAAAATTTTGAATGCCATTAAATCATTTGAACGTGCTTGAGAAGCATTTGGGGATTTTTAGAAAGAAGAGTCAATGAAAAAATACAATGTAGTTGTTTGCAGCTTTCAGATGGTTTATTGCATTTTTTCTAACTGTCTCAGAATCAGCAAGGTGGTACATTTGAGTCATCTGAATAACCAATAAGTATATACAGTCTGCAATAAATCCTGCTTCATGATGAACTCCAGGCTGTTTAAATGAAAAGCTCAATAACTCAGCTCCTTGAAAAAATGTCAGAAGCTCACAAAGATACTTGTAATCACCTCTCTGGAAAGTATTCTTATAAAGAGATGTGATACAAAACTCTTTAGTATCCAAAGCAAGTTTGAGCAGTAATGAGTCAGCCTTGAAAGCATCTTGAGACCAGTCAAACATTGAAATTCTTTTAAATTTGTTTACATTTTCGTAAATCTGCGGCCATAATTTTTGGAGAATTACATAGAGTTTCTTGTTGGGACCATTTGTTGGGCTAAAAATTTCTTTTATCCCACAAGCCACGTTCCTTTCATAAATATGATGTTCCCACATTACCAGAGAACTGGTCTTAAAAGGGCATAGGAAATAATAACACTTACAGCACCTTTTTTTTTACCAGTGTTACTGGATGTTGTGTCAGAACACAGTTCGATAATCTGATCTGACATTTCATAATATTCAAGAACTGTTTGAGTTGCAATAGCTTGATCACTTCCCTCGGAATTTTTGATTTTTTTTTTGATATCAAGAAGTGAACCAGATTCTGGTGAAGATGCGCTAATAGCAATTCTATCCTCATATTTAGATATTCCTTTTTCCCAATTGTAACTCTTCAAAATCTTGATATCAAAATGTGCCACAATTTATAAACCTCTTGTTTCATCTATGTTTTCCTCTCTAGTTATCTGTGCCTCAGACTCCACAACATTATGAATTTTCCTGTTTAGAGTCGATCTTGATATCGACATATTATCAATATTAACTCCACCAGCATTGTAAAGAGAAGACAAAAGACACATAACCGGCCTGACTCAAATCCAAATCTGGTCATAATTGGAATCTAATTGTTTAGAATATCTTACTTACTTAACTGTAGGCAAATTTTAATGTCACTCTGAAACCTTTTCTGTTTTTTCTGGACTTGAGCTGGAGGTAAATATAGTTCTTCACACTCAGTTTGATTGTCACTATATGTGCTTGAAAAGTCATCGTCCAAATAGTTACTCTCCTTTTTCTTATTTTTATCTTCATGACATATTTCTCAGACATCTTAATTATTTTTTCTTGTGCACTGTGAGCATTTTCACAAAATTTATTGTCCATGTTCACAAATTTGACCATATCCCCTCTCAGACAAAGCCTCAAGAATTTTATGTCTTCTTTCTTAGCCTCATAATCCCTATTTTTATAACTTTTTATAACTTTTTTTAAAACAAATATGTTTATTTTATTAATAGAGAAGAGAGCACTGCCCTCTTTCAAAAAAGAGCTCACCTTCTTTTTGTAGTTACCCTCTGGTAGTTCTTGTGTTTTTAGCGTTTTTAAAGTGTGGTATACCTTGACTTTCTTGGTGATTCTGGTCTTGATAGTTTGGTCTGTCACAATGAAAACACTGTTAAAACCCAGCCTGCTCCCATAAATAGACAAGCTCTCTTACAAATACAGACACCAGTAATTATCTGCTCGGTGTTCTCTCTGCACACTTCATCAGCAAACCTGAAGCATCTTAAATATGTTTTTCCGGAAGCAACTGCACAGTTATTTCTTATGTTGATTTGTGTGGTGCTAAAAAAAATTAAAAAAAAACAACGTTAAAAAGTTAAGATTAAACATGTAAAAAATGTAATGCTTTTGTTGATTAATTACAGATTTACCTATTGCTTTTTTCAAGATTAAGCCATTAATACCTTCTGAGCATTTCTCCATTTGTTAGAAGTCTATTAGGGGCAAAACTCTGTAAAGGAAATCCTAGCAATTAAAATTGTTTTGATTTCCTTGTAGCTTTTGATGCATCATCAATATCTCTTCTTAGTGAATTAGCTTGGCAATTTATGTCTAGAGACATTTTCTAAAATCAGTTTATTTCATTTAAAAAATCTGCATTAGACCCATTTAGTTGTAGTTGATTAAATCAGGATTATACTAATGATTAATAATAATTATACTAATAATAATGAAAAAATAGTGAAACTGGTAAATTTTATATACCTGTGTATTAGATGAATTTCTTAGTTGAAAACAACTTTTAAACTTGATTTCTACTTTAATTATATATTGACTTGAGTTAAATTTACACATCATTAGTTTTTAATGTTTATAAAACATGCATCATTTATTTTTATTGTTAGCCATGCTTTTGTCAAAACATAAATAAAAATTGATTTGGATAAAAATCAATTTTAAAGGGTCCCTCAAGACCCTTGAATATTTAATGGTCCCTAATATTATCAAAAAAAAAGTTTTTCAAAAATATGTCAACCTGGTACTTACTCGAATGGAGTAAAATTTTATAAAAAATCAAAAATAATATTTATTTTGAAAAAATTTTAACTTATCAAAATTATCATAAAAAATGCATTTTATTTTGTTTTTTGTTAAAAAACGCAATTTTTATGTAATAAAACCAAAATAACAATTTTTTTTCAAAATTAATATTATTTTTGAAATTTTTAACTAGTAAAAAAACATTTATCTAACTTTTTTTTTCCTACTGCCAGTCTCCTTCAACAAAATCACCAGGAGGAATATTTAAATTAGGAAAAATTCAAGTTAAATTTAAAAAAAATTATTGTTTAAATTATTTATTAAATTATTTTTTTTAATTACTCATTAAACAATTTATTCTAAAAATTAAAATTTTATAACATAAATTGTTGTAATTAATTTTTCAAAACTTCTGAACAATTATGTTTCTCATAATTGTTAAAATTGATAAAGTGTTGCAACAGTAATTAATATAATATTGGGTGGACACGAAAAAATCCTGTCAAATTTAAATTGAGATTTCTCTAAAACCACAAATGCTTTTCATTACTTTTATTTTTTTAATTAAATGTTACTTCCTTATTTTTAATTACTTTTGTTTACAAATCAATAATGTGCAAAATGTTTTGGAAACAAATTGAGCGGCATAAAAAAGTTGTGAATTTTTTTTGCAAAAATACATCAACTTCATGTCGCTTAATTGCTAAACATACTAAAGTCCCAAAATCTTTAATTATAGATATTATAAATAAGTTTAAGACTACTCAAAGCTTCAAAGGAAAACTTAAAAGTGGAAGAAAGAAAACTTGCCGTAAATGCAAAAAGATAAAGTTGATTCTTAGTTCAATAGCAAGAAATCCGAACCAGTTACAGCAAGATCTAGCAAGAAAGTTCAAGACTTTGCGTTCTTGTATATAAAAAGTGCTTAAAAATGCTGGAATTAATTACTACATTTTATAAGAATAATACACCTAAGAGAAGCTTAAATGGTGAAATTAAAGGAATTCAATGTGCAAAAAAGTTGGTTAAAATAATGGCCGATAAAAGTATGTGCATAAATGAAGACGAAAAAACATATTATAAGGCAAATTTTCCACAACTTCCAGGTTAACAGTTTTACTATGAGAACAAAGTTAAACCTGTCAATGATTGATTTCAATATACTAGACAAGAAAAATTTGCATCCAAGTTCCTTGTGTGACAAGCAATTTTTAGCTGTGGTATGCAGTCCTCTTGTTTTGTCACAAAAAAGACCATGACTGCTGATCTCTATATCAAAGAAGCCCCCAAAAAAGACTTGCCACTTATGATAAAATACAATTATTAATGTATCTTTTGGTCAAATCTTGCTGCTTCTAAATGTTTAAAAAAAAATTTTACAGTCGTGCATAGATAATAGTGTGAAAATTGTTTTTAAAGATGAAAATCCTTCAAATCCTCCTAAAGATTGCAAGATTGAAAATTTTTGGGCATTAGTTAAAGGAGTTCTTTATAAGACAGCTGGATTAACGAAAGATAGAAAGGACTTCCAAAAATGTGAATTAATGCCACCAATAAGGTGAAAAAAGAAAAAAAATCTGCAAAATGATGGCTATAAAATTCGATCTCTTGTCAAACAGCCCATTAAGTCCCGTAAAACTAAGCAGAAACCCTAGTTGATGTAAAGAATTTTATTATAAAAAAAACTGAAATCTCAATTTAAAATTGATCGGATTTTTTCGTATCTACCCAATAATAACTCTTTAAATGATATCTTTTATTTTTACTTATTTTTCAGTACAGAAAACATGGAACATTATGTCGGGAAGCTGATGGACCTTGTGATTTACCAGAATACTGTTCAGGAGATAACCCTAATGTATGTTTTATTTTGAAATAAATATTTATATATTTAGGTTTATTAAAATCTATTTGTATTATGAATGTTTTTTTAAGAAAGTTTTTTTTTTTTTTTTAATTTTTTTTGTTAATTAGGTAGAAAAAAAAACAGTAGAAGAAAAAACTGAAATTTTTTTTTGTTTTAATATCTCTTACATACATACAACTCTTGGGCTGGACTAACAAGGAAATAACCAATCATATTCATAATACATCTTCAACAAAGAGTAACCATCTTCATAATACAGTAGCAAGTCACACTGTCAAAATCCAATTTTTTGACTAGTCATAAGTTTAGATTTTATTGTTATTACTTTATACGCTCAACTTGTGCAACTGTTTTATCTTTTAGTAAAATCTTGTATTATGATTTTTTTTCAAAATTTAAAGCTATCTTCCCTTTTGTGATGAAACTGTTGCAATATCAAAAAGGTTATGAAAAACATTTTAAGGTCCTCTTTAATCCCATATTACAACAACCTTTTTTTAAATCATTTTTATCAAAAATTTCTTAGTATTAAAAACCATCCAAGTTGATGAGGGTTGGATCTTATTTTGGTAAATGTTTATTTATTTGAGGATGTACTTATGGAAGCTGTTAAAATTAATCTTTATTTTTTTTATATTTAGCAAAACATTCTTCTGTATTTCTGATGGAATAAAAACATCTTATAAATTTGTCTTTGCAACAAACTTTAAATGAACCAATACTAAAATTTCTTAAAAAACACCATTATAATCAATAAAATGCATCAGAACCTGAAGGATTTTTCAAAGCTTATTTCAAAGCAAATTCGTTACTTTACTGTATTGCTAATAAATTATATGATGGTTCAATATTTAAAACACATTTTCTAAATTTTAGAATTAAAATATTTTACAATATATGGTGACGCCTTAAAATAATGATTTCAACTGACAGATGGAAGCTCATTTTTTTTCTAGTGTCTTTTATTTACAGTGTCCAAAGGATGTAACAAAGCGCAATGGATTTCCATGTAGCAATGGTATTAAGGTAATTTCTATTTTTATTTAAAACATTTTGTTTAAAAATTTTGATTTAAAATTAGTTATTTAATATTAGTTATTATTCGTTAATTATTATTATTTGTTAGTTTGTTATTATTTTTTTTTTACTTTTAGTAATTAGTAGATTTAGTTTTTTTGGAGTTTTTTGCATAAGAATTTAACAAATTTTTCCCTTGTTTTTTTGTAAGTCAAATTTTAATCATTAACGTTAACATTTTTCTTGTTTGTAATGAATTATTTTAGAAATTTTCTGGGCCTGTTGGAAACAGTAACTCTATTTCAAAACTTTCTCCGCAAATATCTCTCAGGTATTTAAAAATAATTCCAAATCAATGGATTGATAGTGATTATGCAGGGTTTAAGCTTGATGTTCGTGGATGTCCAGATGCCAAAGGTAGTGCTTTATTTCTTATTGCCCAATTATATTTTATTTATATGTTAGTTGGTTTTGATGCATGTTCATTTTTTTTAGAATATTTTGTTTATAAAAAAAAAATAGGTTCAACTAATAAAGTTTTCATTGACTTGTTATTATTATAATTGTTAGTGTTAAATATTAATATGAATTATTATAGCTGTTATTAGCAGTGATTGTTTCTAATAATAGTGCACTGTGTGACAAAAAGATGAGACATTTTCCAAAGTTTTACAAAACACAATTATTCTCAAAAGCTTGTAGAATAGTTTTTATAGTGCAAGATAAGCGTGGGTAAGATAAGAATGGGTAAGATAAGTGTGGGTAAGATAAGCATGAGTAAGATAAGCGTAGGTAAGATAAGCGTGAGTAAGATAAGCGTGGGTAAGATAAGCCTGGGTTCATGCAGGAACAATAATAATTAAAAAAGTATTTTTTTAACTTATCTGAGTTTTTATTTAAAAAAGCTGATATTTTTAGTTTGAAAAAGTTATCAGACACTTTTACGAAAAAGGTTTTGTTTGTTAGTTGTGATTAGAAACATTGATAGTCTTCATACATATAAATTTTAAAAAAATTCTTAACATCTGTTTTCATTAAGCAATTGTTTGCACAAAACTTTATTTTTAATATTAAAAATTTGTTTAAAACTTGCAAAAAAAACTCATGTGTGAATAATTAGATTGTACTAACAAGGTTGAAAAAATATATATATTTTCTGTTAAAAATTGATTGATTAGTTTTAATGGCTGGGATATATAGAATTGTTGTTTCATGGTTTGCGTAAAGAATTATTAGTACAGAAATGGCGCTAGCTGGGTGGAGGTAGTGTAACAATTTGTGTGTAATTAATGATCATAGTAAATAAGAAATTTAACTTGCTGACATAAAAAAAGAATTAAAAATTTATTTTTTCGTGCATTTTTATGGGTTATTATCTTTTTATGGATTTTTATTTATTAGTTAAGTGGCTCTGACTTTTTTTTATGTTCTCCTTCTTCCCAAG